CGCAGTCGTCCTCACCGGGACGGTAGCAATCAGCACGTTACCTTCCGACGTTCCTAATGCCAACCCAAGGTCTTGTCGTGTTACATAGGCTGTCCCATATCGATGCATTTGCTGCCATGTGCTCGTAGAAACCCAACCATATTTCTCCGTATCTATCCACGCAACCGGGGCCGACAAAAGAAAAGGCTGCATGAGCTGTCCCACTTCGAACGATGGATATGCATATGCCCAAATGGTACATACTTTACGTCCCGATAGTGCTATAAGCGATGTTGTGCTCTGCTTATCTAGTGTGACCATAAACGGCGACCACGCGATCGTCAGCGTTGACATCATAGCACACCTGTGAGTATACTCGACAATAGAGTTTAAGGCATGATGTCCCTCATCCGAGTCTGGTTTCCTCTTCTTGTTCGTCTTCTTCCTCTCCTTTTCTCTACGTGGTCCTGCCACGGCCATACTTGATGGCGCTTGATTACATTCATTGCGATGCGACGACCCGAGTTGAAAGTTCTTTGTCTCCAAAAACTCGAACAACTTTTCGGAAAATACTGCGACTTCCTTCCAGTTCATGTGAAAACTGGGAGGAAAGTGCAGCGTCACTCTAGACGCTGCTGTCAGTGCTAATAGAGCACATGAAGAGCTTGGTGCAGAGCCTCGAGGACCCCATTCTGCAGCAATGAACGCTCTGCCTCCATTCTTGGACAATGACAACTCCTTGGGGTTATGTTGATGACGGTCGCTTTCATTGAGCAAAAAATACGTGGCGGTGGCACGAGGAAGTCCAGCATCAAGTGATTCCATGACTGGTGGAATTGTCACTGGAACGTGCTCGTCTCTAGTGTGTTCTGGAAGAAATACAAAGTCTTTGGAGACTGCAGGACCTTTTGGTTGGAACATCTCAAGCTCACAACTGCGAAAAGTAGCGACGAGAATGCTGGTATCGGATACAACAGCGAGACGACCGTCTTCAGACCATGTAATTCCACCTGGAACTAATGGACTACCTGGGATGCGCTCACGAGACTCGACATTGAGACGCAGTTGAGCAACTTGATCGATGGTCATTGTGACGACTTTACTATTGGGGGGTTATTCGTAGTGTGAATGGTGTACAAAACGTTTAAGATGGATGGGTCTATCCATCCATGTGAACACTGAGGACGGTAAAGCGTGAACCTATTGATCGATTCCAGTTTATTAAATATGTTGGTCATTCTTCGTTATAAGGTTTGGTTCTTGTCACGATTGCTTGCAGACATAATTACTTCCTGCCTCATCTTTTATTTTGAAGGCTACGTCGTCACTGTCGCTGTCACTGTTGAAGTCCAAAGACGACAACTGGACCCTGTGGTCAGTCTTGTCGTCTTCGCTTTCAGTGCTACTGTCAGTGTCACTGAAGTAATAACTACTGGCTTTGTCTTTTGCAATTTTGACCGCAATGTCACTGTCGCCATCTGAAATTGATTGTACTTTGCTAACATCTTCAGATGACGACAGCGTCGTTTTGTCCTCATCATTCTCGCTGTCACTCTCGCTATCACTATCAGAACGTTTGGAAAATTTCAGCTCGACTTTTTCATCGTTTCCCGATGGTTGTGCATCAGGGTCGTTACCGCTTTCTTCAGTTTTGACACTGTTGTCGTCGTCACCATTGCCATCGGCATTCAAACACTCCGCTCAGTGGTTTTGCGATCACTACCTTCACAAAACTTCAAATCAACATCATTGTCGACTCCGAAGACCTTTCGCTCATGCGCAGCTTTCAGAGAGCATTCACCTTCAAACTTATTCATTTTAACGTCTTCATCAGTATTTGCCCTCTTTTGCTCGCTACTACGTCCGTCGTCAACAGATATATCTCCATCGTCTTCATCACTACTTAGCTCAATGTACATTTCTTCGTCACATTTCGTATCAATCAGGACAAATTCTGGCTCAATATCCATCTTATCTCCAAGACTAAACGGATACAATAAACGAGCGTCTTCCCGATCCGTAGACGTCTACGAAAGAGCACCAGTAACACACGAAATAAATTAGTAACAAAAAAACACCAGTCAACGAAACCTCCTTGTGTCGGCACGTACCAGCCAGTTCCTACCGCGTTCTACCGACGGACAGCCGTCATGAAACCCACGACTCGACGCGAGATACTTCATTGCCGCATAGTAATGCTCCATTGCAATATGATACTGCCGTTTCATCTCCTCCCATCCATTTCTCTTTACCAGTTCATACGCCGTCTTGAAAATATTAAAGGGCCGTACAAAAAGAGCTTGACTTTTTTCTCGCAACCTTTCCATTAATGTCCTGGCCTCTTCATCCAGTTCGTCCATAGACTTCCACGGTGTCGGTGGGCGACTTGGAGTCAGAAACTGTTGTCCTGCATAGACTGTAGACGGTGGGAGAGCAAGCATGCCCTGTTGCTGATGGTACAACTCGTTCACAATGCGATTAGCTCTCGGATCGAGTCCTCCGTGGACGTCCAGCTGATGATCATAAAGATCCGTAAAGCTGTCGAATGTAATTCTGCAGTTTGTATTTGTACAGCGATATGGCTGTAGTGTAGAGCTCCAGCGCCTGATATGCTGACAGGAAAAGCACAGACAGATGCTACTCTGGTTCTGCATCACGTGAAATTCTTCGTCCATCGAGTCGCGCAGACGCTGTGCCTTTTCCCGAAATGATACTACCGGCAGTCCATGAGATGATCGCAAACGCTCTAGCTTCTTCAACCGTCTTATTGCAATAGAGACGTAAGGCTTACTACCCTCGTGCTTAAAGAGATGACGGAAGCCGGCCATTCTCGCCTTTTTCTTACGAAATTGCCGCGTTTGGAGGCGCAAAAGTGGGATAGGCGCGTGCATTGGCATTTCCATAGGCCCGACAATACCATCTGCAAGATCAGCAGCACTAGGCTCCGGTATATCTGATTCACTAGGCATGTACGTGTGTCGTGGTGTCTTCATGTTGATTTGCGAGCTGAAAAGTAAAGTGAAGGTTTGAAGAAATTGGATTGGTTGAAATGATTTTTTTGTAGTAAAACTACATAATATAATTGACAGTAGGCAAGGTCTTGATTGGTTAAAATAACATTTTAAAACCTGAATTCCATTTCTAACATTAGACACGAAGCTGAGACGCTACTAGCAACATGTTTGACCGCAGTCCAGAGGTAAAGGAGACGATAGGTGAGGATAATACTGGATAATGGGCGTGATATTGACTGGGCAAATACTGACATAATTTTTGTGTGCTTACTGCGTGCAGAGAAAGCCAAGAACGCTGTCAAGCATATGCTGGTTGGTGCCAGTATGGCCGGCGCCACGGGAGCTACAGTGGGCACAGTGCTGGCAGCATTACGCAACGAGAACATTAGATTTTATGCTGCATCCATGGGCACTAATTTTTTCTTGCTATCCTCAACGTATATCGGTGAGCAGAGGAAGGAGACTGGTATTATTGCTACAGATGTGAAGAGTTGCAACTTGCTGACAAGTCTGGTGCGTTGTATTTTGTCGTGCGTGAGCAGCTTTTGAGGAAGTGGTCTCGGACAAGCGAGATGACAAGAAGGACTGGATTACTGGTGCTAGCGCTGGTGCAATTACTGGCGGGTTTTATGCCGGTTTGATCGGTATGACTGATGACGTTTAGATTTCTTGCATTAAAAGATGTCGCAATTGCCAACACATCACTTCATTTCTGACGGACATAATGGTGTTTTGCTTATCATTTAGGTGGTCGATTTCGTGGTATACAGGGTGCCGTCGCCGGTGCTGCATTAGGAGCAGCTGTGATTTTTAGTCGCGAGAAATTTCATACGTGGCGTTTAAGCAAAGGCGTGCAACGTTACGAGACCAAGTACGGCACAGCTCCTGCTGTGTACCATCCAATTACTGCTGTGATTGTGGAGAGCCAAGGCCCCCAAGAGAGCTAGCGTTTCCGTCCTTGCTGCCGCAGAGCATCAAGGTATCAGAGGCGGAGATTGAACGACGTATCATAGCTCGCATGGATGAACTGCGACAAGAAATGCAAGAAGAAGAGAACGCTGTCAATGAAAAAAAGACAAAGACGAAAAAGAATGCATTGAAAGATATTGCAACATGACGTACAAGTAGCCCACAATAAATGATACAAAACATATTGTGAACACGAATAATCGCATTATTATAAAACGCCTCTCATTCGTTATTAAGGTATTTAATAGTAATTATCCAATGAAAAGCAGTATTTCAAATCGATGACCCTGCGCCAGTCAATCAATCTCTTGAAAACGAACAATGGCAGCAAAACACTTGCGAACTAGCATTCCCCCCAAGACTTTAGTATAATGCCCCGTCAACTATTAGCTACGCGCTTTGTTACTATTCCAGACGATGTAAAGGTCGTTCTTGATGGCCGTAAAGTCACGGTGACGGGCAAACGTGGTGAGCTACACCGTGACTTTCGTCACTTGACGCTTGACATGCGTCGAGTAAACAAGGAGCAGCTACGTGTGGACTTGTGGTTTGGCAACCGTAAGCAGCTTGCCTGCGTGCGTACCGTCTGCTCGCTCATTGAGAACATGATTACGGGGGTGCGTGTTGGTTATCTGTACAAGATGCGCTTCGTGTATGCCCACTTTCCCATTAACGTGACATTTGAGAATAATGTCGTGGAGATCCGTAACTTCTTAGGTGAGAAGCGTGTGCGTCGCGTGGCTTTGTCCGAGGGTGTTCATTACGTGCGTACAAGTGACGTTAAGGACCAGATTGAGCTGAGTGGTATTGATCTCCAGAAAGTGTCGCAGGATGCCGCGAACATTACACAAGCCTGTCTAGTGCGTCGCAAGGATATTCGTAAGTTCCTGGATGGTATTTACGTATCTGAAAAGACGAATATCGAGATTGAGGAGGACTAAGCAACGTGGTCTACAAGGTACTCTTGTGATGGGGTTTACTCGCTGCTAGGATAGAGTTCGTAATTGGTACTGAAATAAAACCGAGCCGTGCTCTTTTGCCGTCACTGGGTTGATTGCAGCATTTTGCTGTTTTCTTCTGTCCGGGCGGATTTTGTGTTGCGCATTGCGAAGATGTGGGTTGAATGCTTGCTGTACGTGCAGCAAGCACTCAACTCTGTTGGGTCAGCGGGTAGCATGAAATCCACCTTTTGCAGTCTGTCCTTACCTCTCTCTCAAGACTATTCATCGATATGAAGTTACGTGGTTACTGATAGAGCGTCTTATAGTCTTATAGTTTAACAGTACGTTAGTGTCTTGTTAATATTCTGGTGTTAGCAGCACGGTGAAATGTATCAGTAAAGTACGTTGGGATGCGATAACTGCAACTCTATGTGCCATCACTACAGTACCAACACTTTCCCACCTCGATGTGCCATGTCATGTTAATCACTCAAAACATGTCAAAAGGGTTAGCCGGAGAGACTGATGTCTGCGCTGGGGCTGGTACACTCGCAAAGTCGGCAAACCTACATGCCAACAAGAATGACATTAATCAATCAACGATATCCATGGTGCAGCAAGACACGAACTTACACATTGGGATCTGTAAACGCGGCAGTATTCTGCTGAGAAAGCGGAAACGAGGCAGTCGCTAGTGCTTTTGGCCTAGTAGATTTAACAAACTTATTTAGTACTCGTACCATTCTTCTCGTTAATGTTAAGGTACGTACTGTGCGTAGGAGATGGATCCAGGAGATGTTGGGGCATTCTTGAAAGAGCTACTGGTCCTGGATTCGTTTGCTGGTGCGAAAGAGGAAGAGGGAGCAGCCCCACCTGAACTTGTACGGGTTGCAGTAGTGTCGCTAAAGCCATCAAATCCTAAGTTGCCAATGTTTAGCGAGGCAAAAGGGTCATTGATGGAAGATGCGGATGCCAAAGTCTAAGACAAAATAATCACAGAAAAATACACAGTAACGTTAGAGCTTGATCCACACAAACTGTAGCTACATGCTCACGCTCACCTTTGCTGCGGTCGGTGCAGGAGATGTGCCACTAGCTTGGTGAGGGAAGAATTGCATGGTGTGCTGCTGCCCAGGAAATCCTTGCTGTCGTCCGTACCGTTGCTGTTGGTTCTGTAGCGGTTGTCCTTGGACAAATGATAGCATTGGCTGCTGCTGCATTTGATAAACGAACGCATTCTGGTGCTGATGCACTTGATGACCAAACGCATTCTGAGGCTGTTGCTGCTGTAAAGACCCAACAAACAGTTGGTTCGTCACATAGCTACCAGGATGGTGTTGTTGCTGCTGAGCTACAGGAATCCCGCTGTTGTTACCTGTACCACATCCAAATCCGAACGGATCCTTCATTGCCGCTTGCTGCTGGCTGACGTAGTTGCCCGCTGGAAAGCTCTTTGGTGGTTCAATATCGGTTGTGAGAGCTGCACTGCCAAGAGTCGATACTTCACTACTGCTCGGCTGCATACCGTCAAAAGCTGCAAATGGATCAGCGGTGGCAGCAACGGAATCAGGTTTCTCGAGTGTACTGGCAAAAGGATCCAAAACCGGGTTGGCCAAGTTTGCACTCAACGAGCTATTGGAGTCGGCAAGCTCTCCAAAAGCGTCTTCACCTCCACCAAATGCATTAAACACATTGCTGCTCGTCGTGGATGCAGGCGATGGAGCTGTAAGCGCATCAAACACCGAATGCGATGACACGTTCGGAGCGCTGAATGCATCAAAAGGCAAAATGTTGTGAGGAGCTGATACTGGTGTTGACGGAACTGTGGCTGCCATGTTGCTGAATAGATCAAGAAACGCCGAGTCGGGGCAGCTTCCCGCACAACTAGCTGGTGTTGGATCATCAAAGTCAAACGGGGATGAAACTACTGGGGATGGTTGGCTCGATGTTTCGATCGTTGGTGCTGGATCGTCAAGCCCAAACGGGCTATCGGCTTGCGTCGGTGGACTAAGACCCATAAGATACTCGGAACCGGGGACAGTATTGACACTGTACGTAGAAACGTTCGATCCAGGTGGTGGCGCAATCTTAAAAGAGCCAAACTTTGGCACTGGCAAGGGTGAAGGTGTCTTTGATTTTGACTTCTGAGCTGCACTTGATCCACCAAAATCGCCAAAATCACCAAAATCTGCAAAACCTTCAACGGTCTTCTGCTCAGGAGCTGGACTATCGAAGTTACCAAAATCACCAAACGACTGCACCGTAGCTGCTGTTCTGCTACTACCTTTAAAGTTAGAAAAATCGTCAAACCCACTTTCAGTAATAGGCTTCACAGATTTTAAGCTGGATGAAACATTGTCGTCGCTTTTGCTGTTCTTTTCTTTTTTCTTGCTGCTTTTCTACATGTATTAAGCCGCTGAAAATGTTAAAAAACGCAATAGGTATTTGATGCCAAAAGCGAAGGATAGAAACACTCACCGACTTTCGTACAGGTCCTTCATCCTTAGCATGGCGTGGCGACTCGTTTACCCACCTGATTTCAATAAATAATCGATCAGAGAAGAGAATGATAAGCAACAACAACCCCTATACTTTCACGTCGTACTTGCGGTCAATGTACGTCAAACGAATAAAGTTGCGTGTGCGCTCGCCGTCGCTACCTCCATTTGGACGAAAGCTAGGGTCGTGTTTGCTTCTCCAATGCTTTTGTGCAGCCTGTACACCAATCAAAAAAGAATAAACACTTTATTAGCAATATCCTTCATCTAGGGCCCACTTCTGTCAAAGAGCTCCGACCTCGTTGCCACCGTGGTTAATCATGTTCTTGACTTCACTCTCCGTAAACTTGGACATGGAAATAGACTTGACTCGGTGTGCAAACTCTCGACTGTAATTAGATCAACAATAGCATACGCTTGGTTCGTCAAGCAGGATACAAGTGCCAAGGAGGACAATGCTACATCAGACTCACTGGATGCCACTGCAGGCGGTGCACACAAATGTATTAAAGTCCAGACAGATATATTGAGGCATCTATATCGAAGAAACAACATAAATTCACCATCATACACACGTGACTAGCAAGAACAAACTGTACAAGACCATCTCATTGCAGTCAAAACAGCGCTTGTTGGATGGGTGAGCACGCTGGTAGTTACGCAGCTCTTGAATCAGCCGCTCATCCTGCATATTATCGCTCAAAGATGACTTGGTCATGGCTTGATTGCGGTTGATTAGTGACGGAAGGTGGACGACGGGGGGCGCCACTAAAGACACAAAGAGCACGTTCACAGATGCGCACGCCAACAAAAAATGCTTTGAGTTACAATCAAATGCACTTGGTAAAACCGTATGAAAAGTATGCGGTGATGATTTATCAGAACTCTATCAAGTTTATCGATAAAACACATAATAAACTATACAAGGTTATTTGCTGTGACTAGAATATAATTAGCTTCAAAAGGTTTTTAGGCTATCCATTCCAGGTGGACTGCACTCATGAATTCATCTTGCAGACATTTGTGCTTGAAAACATTGTGCTTGAAAACATTGTGCTTGAAAACATTGTGCTTGAAAACATTGTGCTTGAGAACATTGTGCTTGTCATGGTGGTGGACTTGTAACAATAAGTAAATTACTAAATTGATGAGAATAAGTGCTGGACACAATGTCGTGTGCTCAATATTTTTGTGAAGACAGTGACTAACAAAAGGTGAACCCTCGTCATTTTACATTTATACGTCGACAGAACTGATGACACTGCATCATTCTTTGGAATTTGTCCGATGGAATACGCGTCAGTTCATTGATGAGCCCAACAAATCGACGCAAACAGCGTTACTCATCCAGTGAAGAAAGCACACGGCGCGAGAGAAAGAAGTAAATGAGATAAGGACGCTGCTACGCCAGCTGTGGTCTTTAATGACTTCAGGAATCACGAACAAAGAAAAGTGCTTTGCCTGCAAGTGCAAATAGAAGGATTTGTTCATCTTGCGTATTTGCCATTACAAGTTTTGTTGTTGTGATAGCTCTTCCTTGGCGGATCTGTTTTGCACGGACGTGATTTGATGATGATGAATAAGTGGGTAGAATAGGTCGATGTGCGTCTGCTTCCTCTCCAATTCGTACAAAGCATCCTTGCCACCATTACGTTTACCTGTACCATACTCAGAGGTATGGGTGAAGATGATAAACATCTCATTGAAGCACCAGTGACGCATTACAATAGGCCATGGAGTCATGCATAAGCCTGATGAAGCTGGAGATAATGTTGCTGACGTTTTATTTTTTGAACACAAAAGTTGTGATTCATTTCTCAAACAGATTGAAAAAGACAACACTCACGGCAATTTTACGCTTAACAACCTTTGTGGAGGCAAGCATGAATAGTGTGAGGCTACGTAGGCGCATTTGACGATTAAGGAAAAAGTACGGCATCGTGGAAGAAGCTGCAAAGGTTGATAGCATTTTGTTTGATTTGGTTTGTCAAATACAAAAATTAATGGAGCAATTTTACAAATAGTAGCTGTCGTTATTTAATAAGTTAGTGGTGACTTACTACTTGTATCGAAATATTAGTCTATTGACCTTAGACCGTGTATTACAATGCTTGCTACATGTATCAATACTATTCTGCTACAATAAGCATACATTAACATACCTAACTGTATAGTAAATTATTGTATTCCCACTATATGCTATCCCATCACTTTAAACGCTCCTTGCTCCACCATATGACATTGTTCTCATTTCAAATGCTTTCATTCTTACATTGTCGATCATTAAAATGCGTCTCACGTTCGTGTTACTTCTCGTCGTTGCCACCTATCGTGAGTGCTTCTGTAGCCTCATCGAAACTGGAAAAACCATCGAGGTGAAAAATGTGCAACCGGGTTACGCGAAGGTGTGTATTTTTTACATACACATCTGCCACACCAATGTGGTGTGGCTGTACCTTGGGTACAAAGTAGGTGATGTGACCGTACCTGAAGTAGGAAGGGTCGACGTGGCAGAGAGCCACGTGGTCACTATACTGATTTAAAGTATAGTGACTATGCATGTTAGCATAATAATAACAGGGTATAGAGCCATTAAATAGTGACTAGCACTAACTATAGAGTACGTGCTTCTATATCTAGTACTAGAAGATAAACATAAATATAAATCAGTCTCAAACCTGCTCTATAAGCCTAACAGCTTGAACGTTCTATTCCCTTTCAGGAATTGGTATCTTTGATACTAGTCTCTCTGAGACTCGGTTGTTAATACCGATAGGCACAAGCTTACGAGCTAGCCTAGGAGGGAAGCACCCTAAGACGTAGAAGCTCTCTGAGCTTGTCTTTCTTTGCACATAGTGCATCGTAGCTTTGCTACAGTAGTCTGACTACTTCTTCTGCACATAGTGCATAAGTAGCGTAGCTACAATAGCTCGGCTACAACACCGCAATTTAATGCGGTGGTGACCAAGATGCATCAAACTGGACTGTCGAAAGTGGCAAGCGTGAATTGGCTCCTTTTAGCTCAAGAATTGTATATAACAACGGTCTGCTTTACTCGTATGACAAGTACTAGCATTCGCCACGTGTTGCAACTGAAATTTTGCTTAGTGCATGAACAGTGCAATGAGTAAAAAAAAACCCAAAAAAAATATAGAAGAGCTGAAAGTAATCGATGAAGAAGCCCTGATGGGACAAGGAGCACATGTTTACCTTCTCCTATTGAAAGCTGCCAAGTGGCATCAAAACCACTCGTACCGTCCGATCCGGTGTGGCTCGTAGGTCTCATGAGCAGTGTGGGTCGGAGCGGCCACTCTGATCTTGTGTCTCGTGAGACGATCGTGTCTGGCGTGAAGTGGATTGGGCTGCCAATGCCCATTCCGCCGCGATACCAGGAGCATAATTTAGAAATGGTATCTTTGCAGGACGTTGTTGGCACTGAAGGCGGTGTCGTTTGTAGCGAAACGGGTGAAGTGGGTGCGCTTTGGGCATCTTTCTCTTTTCAACAACAGCGCCATAGCTCAATGGTGGAAAGCCAATTCAACCGCGGCATTCCGATGGATCTAATCATGGAGAGCGCAGCGCCGCTTATGCGTGGGGTGACGCCAAAAATATACGATCTGGGCGTTGACTTTGAGCACTTGAGTTTGGCTAAAGCTCGGGAGCTTGGACTTGGGCAAGCTCTAGCCGAGATTCTAGAAAAGGACGCGCCAGATCGTCGGACAATCTTGACCGTAGCCCGGCGATGGGGCGGTACAGAGGCACATGACGTGCTTAAGAATGGCGATATTTTGGTTGCTGTCGACGGCAAGATTGTGACAAGTTTCCGTGAGGTAGAACGTTGCACACAGAAGCCAGAGGTACAGCTAACAATTGTGCGCGATGGACGCGAGATGCATCTGAACGTAAAGACTCTTTTCATGGAGCGTACAGAGATCAACCGTATTGTATTCTGGCAGGGATTGTTGCTACAAGCGCCACCATTATCTGTCTCGGCACAACGCAGTATCTCACTGGACGATGGCATTTATGTGTCTTGTCGATACGCGGGTTCACCAGCGGCTCGTTACGGTCCACAGCCCACAAGTCGTATCAAGGAAATTGATGGTATCAAAATCACCAGTATCGATGATTTTCTTCGCGTTGTGACTGCGAAATCCACGAACGACTCGGTGCGTATCAAATACACTGATTTAAGTGGCAAGGATCGTCTCAGCACACTCAAGTTAGAACCTAAATACTGGCCTACCAGTGAATTGGTTTACGAGGATGGCGAGTGGCATCGGCAAAACCATCTCTAGAACAGCCTTTACTCGTCACACAAGACGCAATAGATGCTTGTTAAAGAAAGTGGTTTGATGCAATGAAGTGAAGCTGACAAAAAGCATTTTTTCATGACAAGTATTGCTTTCTATAAAATGTAACCTGGTTGTCTTTAGTAATTGCTTTTTTTCTAGTGCAAAAACGCCTATGGACAAAATAATGGATAGAAAAAAATGCAGGTTCTTCTCAGATCTGAGTCGATCATAATCCCCGTTTCAGTGACATAAGGCCAACCAAGCTTATAATGGACACACCACCTAGCATCCGTCAACAATATGCTGCACCTCCACATGAGACACCAGCAGAGCGACGACGACGTCTTGTTAATCGTCGGGCAGCAAAGTATCGTCACTATCGATCGTTAAACGCTGCTCAGAATGTATCAGATCCAGTGGTTGAATTCCAGAGGCAACAAAATAGTCGCAGACAGCGCGAACGCCGTTCGCTGTTGGACGACGAAGCGCGTGACCGCTTACGCGCGCAGAATCAACGGCGTCAGCAGCTTAGAAGAAACAATATGAGTGATGTAGAGAAGGCAGAGATACGAGAGAAACAGCGTGCACGACAGAGACAGCGTCGACAGAAACTGGATGATGATGCGCGCGATGAGCTCCGGGAACGCGAACGCCTGCGTATCACACGACGACGGCGACATATGAAGGCTTTGGAAAGGGAAAAACAGGCAAAAGAACCAGTTTCATTGCTTCCAGCTCAGTTTTTACAGCCTGCATTGACGGAGACAGAGATGTTGCCGCACTTGAGACTCGCGCCGGAGCTGCCAACGTTGCGGCAGCATCAGGAACAACAAAGACAGAGGGAGATGCAGGGAAGGGCATTTCCGTTTGTCGGAGGCTTGCAGAGTACACTGCCACCTCCACCGCCGGTGATTGAGCGAGTAAGAGCATTCCAGCACGAGAGGATCCCGTCCCTGCCTCATTTGCAGCAAGTGACGAGACCGGCGACTACGTCCTTGCTGCATATCACACCACCACCGATTTTTACGATCTCGGAAACGACTGGTGGTGGATCAGGAATTGCGGCGTCGACAGGGATGCGAGCGGTTGCTAGTGCAGTGGTCGCGGCAACAAGACCACCGCCGCAACCGACACCGATCATACCCTCGGTTAGTTTGCCATTGGCAAACAACCCCCTGACAGCACTGTCAATGGTTCCACAACAACAGCAACAATCTAGAACACCTATTGTTCTCCCACCTGCACACCGTTCGCTTCCTCCATTGCCTGACTTTCTTAACAGTCGCGAAGCGTTCAATCCCCCGCCGCCGCCGGCACTGCTACTGCTACTTCGACGCGCGTTTCACGGCCATCAAGCAGTGCTACTAGAGCTCTGTTCCCATCTATTACCGACCTTCCTCCTGTGCACACCGATGCATCAGACGTCGAATCGTTTCTTCAACGATGAGCAAAGTGTGGACACTAGGGAAGACGCGATGGTCAAATGCCAAGGTACCACACGTTGCGATTGGAGCAAACCACCGGAATTTTGTGGAGTCCGAACCTTTCGAGACCAAGACATCTGGCCATAGCCTACTGCTTTTTCCTACGGTTAGTTGTGGAAAGTGGCGACCTACCCAGTTTGTTGATGCTGCCCTGTGTGGCACGAATACTTCACAGTGCACGAATAGTTTGTATGCGTGTCGATGCCGCGGTTTTTAAAAAGGGCCAAGCTGTGTCTCTGACATTCTACAAGAGCAAAACAATAGAAATAACACGGAGTTCAGCAATTGGTAATACCTCTTGGCGCGCTCTAGTGTGGAGGCTGAGAAGCAACATGAAAGCACTGATGCTGGACAAAGGAAGCGCCGTTACGACGACAAAGAAAGGGTATCAGTGAGTTTTTGGCGAAAAGCACGAATGCTAGCTTGCAGCAGAGAGCGCCATCATAAGTGCCAGCAGACAACAAGACAAGATGAAGCATTAGTATCTTGTTTGCTTTCATCATGGCTGAGCTGTAGATTCGGCTCCAGCAAGTCTTGGTTCCACTCGCTCACGACGTCTTTCGTTCCAGCATCGAGGGTTCTTTATCTCTTTCAATCTCAACTGGAGAAATAATATCGTTCGAGGTCTCTTGAATTCCTCGGTGACATCCCACTGTTCCAGATACTCGTCGAACTTCATGCGCTTAGTCAGCAAAGTCGCTTCTATCCTTCAATGTATGTGTGCAAAAGAGCCAACCATGTGTCCAAGAGAGCCGGCCCGTGCTCACATTTGCAACGTAAAATTTGTCACATAGCAAACGTAATAATCTCCCGAGCACTTCGTCACGTGATCCGTGCAAGTTCACACACGTGCGGTACGTTTCCTGTGCTACCAGAAATACGTTGATTGGATGCAGGCATGGATGCGCCTTAGAATGCGGCGCACAACATCTATGGGAAACATGAAGCCAAGCTGCATGATGAACGAAAGCAGACCCGCTGTGTACCTTACGGAGAACAACTGCAAATGAATGCTACGGCAAGGCCATGTAAGCAATATCCAGCGCAGAAACTTCTCGCTGTGCATCGGAGATAACGTGAACATCCGGTATAGTAGATCCCCTACAGCGCTTTATGTCGTCGCTCTTTTCGCTGAGTCGTTACATTTTGCATCGTGCTCCAGCTGGTTGTTGTTGAAATCAGAGGTGTCATTGCCTCTAGGCGAGCTTTGAACAACCAATCGGATCACATAATGTGGCCACATGACTGAGTGGTAGTATCGCGGATCTGACGGTCGCTGTTGCCGAACACTTCAGTGTTGTATCGTGCTTACATTCAATGACACCCATTGCTTTGTTCAAAAAAATCAAGACTGACTTTGATTGTGATAATGTTCTTGCCAAATAAGCGAGGGGCAATCTTCACATACTTTGGTGCTGAAAGGTTGCGAGGGCACATGAGCAGCAATCACTGCCTCCCTAGACCGTCATTGCAATCCCGTGAGAATGGTTGCAATCCAAACATCCTTGTATCGATCTCCACAATATTCGAGCACACGATTGCACACCAGTCAAAACTACTGGGACAGGCACACATTTTCCAAGCCCACTAAACTGCTGTATCGGCCGTCGTGTAGGCACGCGGCTGCAGACTTGCTTGCATTCCTTGCGAAAAAGTATGCTGGCAGTCGCGGCAATCTGGAGCAGTATACCGGTGTGTCTCGTTTGGCTTTTCGTGCCTTGTCAACCTCAAGAGAAAGATTTTTTTAATCTGTCGTTGAATTCGCCAGTTCTAGTACATGATTTTTCTACCTTTATCACATGTATGTTGTGTTGAGCTGCAGAGCTTAAGAAATAATTGGTCTGTTCGTCCTTTCGCATGTTGCTGGTTGTACATATGTGGTACTCCGTTTTATGGTGAGGCTTCAAGCGACACACGTCACTTTAAATCATATTAATAAAAGGTAATTAGATGCTTTATGTCCCATCTGGACTGTTTCTTCTGTTACTTTCAGCTCTTCGGTACATTCTATGCGGCTTTTCTTACACATTGCACTGTTCATGCACTAAGCAAAATTTTAGCTGGAATTCTGATCATTTGTAAGATAGATAGCCTAGTTTTTTGTCCAATAGAATGGGTTGTTCGATGGTTGTCACTTCCTTTTCTCGTTTGTTACCGTGGTCGTTGACTTTTTTGATGTTACATACATGCACAGACACTAAAAGTTATATAAAGTCTGGCTTTTTGTCCCTCTCGCAACTGACTGGCTTTATTTAAACGTAGATAATGTACCGTATGATACCAAGCAATTTGAAAAATTTATCCCTTTGATGTCATTGCCATATTCGCATTTGCCATCTACCGACACAACAGTCTAACCTCAATCATGCGCCTCCAGCCCGCCATTATGTGTGGGTCTCTTGCTGCCTTCTTATCGGGTACTGGATCGCTTGCCAGACCATTAGACGTCGTCAAATCGTCTGGCTCGCTGTCATCTGGTCAATATGATTCCGTTAAGAGGTCCTTAAGAGGGCCTCTTAACAGGCCTATCAACGACGGCGAGGACGAGAGGGGGAATTTTGCTGCTGCATACGATTCGGCTGTAGAGAATTTGAGGAGCCTTGGGCCTACTGCTGAAGCGTTACGTGCGGAAGAAATCGAAAACATCGCGGACAGCATTCTCGCAGAATACATGCACCAAGAAATGTACGCAATAGTACTGGAATTTATAAAGAAACCTGAATTAGAGAAGTGGACTGAACTAATGATTTGGGACAAGTTTACAAGCCGAGACGACGAATCTGCTTTGGAGAAATCGTTTTTCAATTGTTACACCTTCGATGAGCTGCGCGACTTCATTGCTGCTGCGAGGAAATTCCCTCCTGCTGGATTAATGGCCCATAAGGTAGAGTCCTGGCTATTAAAGAAGCATCCATTCTTTTTAATGAGGAATTTGGTTCGTGGTTACAACAAAAATACGCTTGAGACGTGCCCAGAATTATATAAATGGTTCGACTATTTGGCCCACTACAACGAGAGGTACGCAGAGAAACAAAGTACGGTTTCTAACACACTGAAAAAAATTCTACAATGACGAAAATCTGGTGAACTACTTTGAAGAATTGAGAAAAGAGTATACCACTAAAGAACTTGCTTCCGAAGAACACGCATGGCTGGAAACGGCGACACCTCCTGAAGATGTCTTTACCAAGCTTCACCTTCATATAAAAGGTGATGGCTTTTTCAATAAGCCAAACCTACCTAAACAAATTACGGACATGGATAACATGTACGAAGTCTTCCCCAAATTGCAGATACCCTTTCGCAGGATTTTGCCGTATACGGATGAAAAACTGCTCGATTTGGTGTTTTTTGAGGCTAAATTTACTCCACTAATAAAAGGCCTCAAATATCGAGCGCTCAAGGGGCTATATGAGGCATGGATTGCTGAAGACCGTCCTCCAGCCGAAGTTGCTCCACTTTTTGGCCTTCATAAGATCTCTGATCATTCGTATCTGAACCCTAGGTTGAGGGGCTGGGAGGGTTATGTGGACGCTTACAGTGACGCAAAAAATTTGAACCCACGACTAGAAGCTGAATCTGAACTGAAGAAGATATATAACGACGAGACAATTTCGGCTATTTATGAGCGTACCAGCAAGGAGATGGCGCTATGGAAAAGCAACAAAAGGTAACATAGCGAGATTAGATAGATCTAAAGACTGATAACGATGCAGATGTTTGATAAGGAGTCCATTCTCGAGCACGGGCAAGTTCTCTTCGACATGCTGCAAGCTTGTGCACGTGAAAAAGGTTCGTGGTTGGTATACAACTACTTAGACTGCAAAGGCCAAAGAAGACAGCATTACATTGCAAGCTGAGGGTAGGTGTTGTAAATCTAAGTGTTAAAAACAACAACTTTATCGTTTGCCATGTGTAAGCGTGTATTGTCATCAGAAGGTCGCTTGAGTAATAGATAATTCTAGTCTTAATTTGCTTAAGCTCGCGGTGATTTTGAAGTTTTCAGTAAACAGAGTCTCAGTTAGGGAACTTGAGCATGACGCTTTCGCTTGTTCTAGAGTACACCTTTCTTTAACCCCGTCCGACGCTAATTGAAACAAGTTGCTATCGCGAAGTATTGATTCAACATTGCATTAGTCGGAGCGGATTGGTCGGCAAGCAAATGAATGCGAGCAAACATGCATCAATGATTGCAATGGCTGTGGCACACAGTACGTCACAACCTTTCTTTTCACCAAATTTACACTTATCCCATGCTTACAGCTGTGGCGTCCTAGTTTTGCCGGTACACGCAGGCAAGTTGGCTCGTTAACACAGGATTACTTCAATTACCCACAAGCAAGGCGTTGCCCAAACATATTTAACCCCTTTTCTGTCGTCTTTGCCATCGACGAGGCTCTAATGCCTCAACCTCTTTGCACTTGCTTTTCTCATCCTTTGGTACTGTCTGCATTTTTTCGAAGAGACGAAAACGGCAAGCAAAAAGCTGTCTACCTACACATCGGCTGTCAACGGAGGCGCTGTAATCGATCCTCGTCGCTCTGATCGAGAAGGAATCGCTTCACCTCCTGCTGCTGAAGCCCCAGACACACTAGCAATATTGGATATTGAAGCTGATTTCGCAATAGGCGGAAGCATGCTTAAAGTTGGTGATGAAAGAGGCTCCATTCCAACACCCTGCGTGTTTTCGTCCAACAATGTCAACTGGCTACGTAGCTCCTCAATATGTGAAAGCACCACACGCCGGTGACCTTTCTTCACACGCATATCAATGAGGTCATCCTCATCAATTGTAGCTACACCTCTCAGTGTATCAAATCCATCTTTTTCAAAATTCTGAGCGTATTCTTCCATCTTGAAAAACTTGAGCCAGTTGTAAACGGTCTCGATATCTACAATCAATGCAAGATAGATCAAAATGAGATTGGCTTCACCTCAAAAAGAAAAGCGCAAAACAACATACTCCTGCTTCGTGGAGTAGCATTTTCCTCTTCATCGCCAGCAGGACGGCCACCATCGTACTCAAGCAATGACGTGGATTTCTCGTCGTTTGTGGAATAATCGTCGTTACCTTCCTCCCACGCTTGTAGATAATTAGCAAGAGAGCTATGGCCAGCCTCAAATGCACAGCGTGATGGACTCTTGTTCGTCTACAAAAACAAACACGCTCATCTCAACGTCATGATACAGCCGTTAGACACGAACACTAAGCACCTACCAGTGTCAATGAAAGAAACTCTGACGAGTCTCGAGACTTACGAATAAGCCAAAACGCACATTCCTTGTTGCCACCAAGAGCAGCACTATGCACTGCGTTGCGACCAAACTGTAGGCAAACCAACAAAACTCGTAAGTCTGCATGACTCGCCAAAACTTTGGTATCTCCATCGTTTCGCCTACCTTATCGACATCCGTCCAAACAGCAAAATGCTCACTCAACAGCTTCAAAGTCGACAAGTGTCCAAACTCTGCCGCCCAATGCATCGCGTTTTTGCCGTTCTGTTGTCACAACAGTACAGCAACACAATGAATCTCTTACGCAATGGATGCACCTCGCGTAGTCATTCTTGTCCACTTCGTTACCTTGTCACGCATGAATTGCAAAGGATATGCTCCGTCAATTTCAGCTATTATCCGTGCAATTTCTTCATCGTCTCCTTCTTCAGCCCCATGAACAAATTTCTAATCGCACAACGCACGACAAACATACCACACATGCTTGAAACATCAGCTACTCATCGGTCAAAACATACGTTTTTAACCAGCGCATACCTGCGATGTCTCGTACCAGCTTTTCAAAAACTGTACACATTTTTGCTTGTGCTTGTCATTGGCAATCTGGTACGCCGTCTTGTTGTCCTGTTTCGTCCCTCAACGAAGTCAGTCAACATGGCAGCCAAAATACCAACAGGTTTTTTGTACGCACATAGCTGGTGATGTGAATGTCGATGCCTTTCATACAGAGATATTGAATGACTTCTTTTCGTCCTTTTGACGCCGCCCAATGCAGACATGAACCACCATACTACATGCACATGTACAATAGATACAGTGTATCAGTACCACTGCCATCTCCTAGCACCTCTATTAACAGACCCTACCTCGTCGACGGCATTAATGTCAATGGGACTAGAACATTCCTCCAGCAAATACGTTACGACATCCAAGTGTCCATTGATTGCCGCTGAGCAATGTGCCAAGCGTCCAAATTTATCTGGAGCATCCAATGGTACCCCTTTATCTACGAGAAGTTGTACCACCTCTAAATGTCCATAGAATGCAGCATAGTGCAGTGCTGTCTGGTCGTCATGGTCCGTAGCGGTCCAATCCACATTACAATGCTCGCCCATCCACTGCATGACATCCAATTGTCCAGCTGCCGCAGCTCCATGCAAGGCTGAGCATCCATGCTGTAGTATACAATCAAGACAGTACAATCAGCCATATGAGATAACGCCCACCTTGTCGATTAAAAACGAGGACAGGATACTGTCGAGCTTGCCTGATTACGGTAGTTAACATCAGCATGTAGCGTCTTTACAAGGTACTCGACCTCTAATTTCTTACCACGATTGGCTTTACATATGAGTATATCACCTAAAGTGTAGCTTTCAACGACAGATGGGGCGCTAGGACCCAGTGGTAGCTGCAGTACGCGGTTCATTATTAGCGTTGACTTAACGGAGCTACTGAAAAATGGAGCAAAGGGTGGGAAGAAGGTGGGAAGAAGGTAGCAAGAAGGTGGGACTACAAATTCGTATTTCTATCATGAGGTCAAAACAATTTTGTTTCTATCTATCTATTGACCTTTTGTTTCTATCTATAATGACCTCTAGTTTCTATCTATATTGACCTTTTGTTTCTATATTGCGTCCTTGATGTCCATTGCTGTATTGAATAATGTTTACATCTCACTAAGCAATAATTGTAGCTTGCGTTGTGTGAGTATACCACTCTGTCACATTACTTGTTATTCTCTAGCAGCAATGTATCCGATTGTCCATGCTCTTATGCTTCTTTTGCGTTAGAAAGCTTTGATCGAACTAATGAAAGGCATCTGATGACCCTGTGAGCAGAGCTTACTTGTCCTGCATTATGTGTCCGCTGAGAGTGATGCATATCGCTATCAAATTGACCACGACACAAGTCACTTGAGGATCAAGTTAGTAGCACAATTGGAGCCGCACGAAAGGTCACCATTTGCCTTTATATTATTGAAACACTCCGTGATAACACCTTCAAGCTTATCATCTCGCTTTGGAAAAGGATCTAAACATTTTGTCACAATGCATTAAGCACTTAGAGAGGTGGCCACGGTTCGGCTTCGAAAAAAAAGCGTTAGCTCGCACAAGAAGAACGCAGTTTTTTTACCTATGAGATCAGCCATACTTGCTTTAGCTCCGTAATAAAACCACAAAGGACCACTTTAATCATCATTGGCGTTCCAAATGGAGCTTGGATGGCACAGATACCTACAAGTTGCTGATGCATGCAAGGTTTAATCAGAATTAGCAATAAAAGTCCAATCCTTGTATCTTAAAGCTGGACTCGCAACGATTGGCAACGTCTTTTACAACGCTTGTCCTGCGCGTAGAGAAGACGCTATGACACTCGATGATCGTGTCTCAGCTGCTTTGACGTCGTCCATTGCATTCAGCGATAGTAGTGATTGACGTCAAGCAGCCTGATCAAAGGCCTTTGGTGGGCATGAGCGGCAATCGAGGTGATGGACACTATTAGACTTTTGAAAAATACACACGTTGGCCATTTATGTGCACCACGTCACGTTTATTCAGAATTATCAGAAGCAGACTCAAGCATAAAGTTGATGTGGTACAGTAAAACCTCAAAGGGGTACGACAATAGCGTGAAGACTGTTCATTTTTATTTGCCAAGAGTCTTCGCGCACCATGTCCATCTTTTATTTCGTAGTAGCCAATAGTCACTGTCCACTAGCCGAGTACAGCAACGGTGGAGACAAGGGTATGAACGAGTTTGCACAAAAGCTACTAAAGAAGCTCAACTTGGCCGAAAATGCGGTCGAGTCCATGGATTTTGAAGGAAAAACGTACAGCTACCGCGTGGACAATGAAATAGCTTACATTTGCGTCACTAACGCTGCATTTGGCAAGAGGTCATTACGTCGATTCACTACGATCGATCATACTACTACATTGATTGGATGCTCTCTGATTTGTGTGGTCAATTATTGCATTGCAGCTCGGCAGCGTTGTTTCTTAAACACATTAATCAGCTCTTCGATAATCAGTTTGGCATCCGAGGAAAGGCAACAAAACTAAAATTGGATATGAATCCAGACTTTGCACCTACATTGAAAAATCAAATGGTAAGATTGGAGAGATATGGAGATAAGAACGAGAGACGCAGTGTGTTGAGAATGCATACTATTTTTTGCACAATGAAGGAAACGTTTTCATCGAATAAAGGAGCGGAGAAGCTGCAGGCTTTGAAGAACGACCTGGATAAAGTCAAGAGCAACGTTCAGGAGAACATTAGTAGGTTACATAATGATGAAAGCAGCTATGAAGACAATGACTAACTACACGCTGACTTGGTATGGTTGTAAACACTGAGGAACAGATAAAGTGCTGGAACGTGGTGATAAAATCGAATTGCTTGTTGACAAGACGGATCAACTCAAGTACGATGCATAGTTTGTTTTGCGTACTGGTATTTCATCAAGTTGTGTAGTTTCTAACATACGTTGTTGTGCAGCTCCCAGTCTGCAGCATTTGCCAAGTCCAGTACAAATCTCCGTCGCCACTTGTGGTGGGAAAATGTCAAGATAAATATTGCAATTGGAGCAATAGTTGTGGTATGTGATTGCTCTTTGAAACTCTGTATAGTTGCATGAGGTAAAATATGGACAAATGCGGCTGTGTGCTGATTGTCTGCTGCGGCTGTGTACTGATTGTCTGCTGCGGCTGTGTACTGATTGTCTGCTGCGGCTGTGTACTGATTGTCTGCTGCGGCTGTGTACTGATTGTCTGCTGCAGCTGGTTTGTGTCCTCATCTTCCTGTTTATCAGAGGCAAGGTATCAAGATAGCTTGGTGTAAAACGCCTCAAAGTCTGTAGAAAATAGTCATTGGAAACTAATGTGCGAAAGAGACAAGGAGGGATAGTGATTGATTATTGCACGTTGAGCCACTAGGCAACGACTTCTTACTGCGGTGTGATGTTACTTCAGCTGACAAAGTTTTAACCAATACTTAAGCGCATACAACTCCGGTGAGGTTGTGGAAAAGAGCAGATTAATATTAGATATTGCCTCTTCACCAGAATACTTAATATCGTCACTTCAGCCCTTGCACAATTTGACTGATGGTCATTGTTGACCCGACCACTGTCATGATGGAAGTGCTCAAGGCGACAGTCGTCACCGAGAAAGCCGCGGCAAAGCTACTTAAGAAGTTTGTGGACAACAAGAAGGACGAGGAGAATGCGGATCTAATGGTGCGCATAGTTAGTTTGTAGTTATGTACGGTAAACTATTGACAAAGGAATTTTGTGTGACGCTTGATGGATGGTTTTGGTCATGATTTTATCGACAGATGAACGAGGAGGTCAGACATCAGTTGGCGCAGGTGCTGGCACACTTGGAAGGCAAGAAGCCACATATTCATGATCTTTAGGCAGTATAAACTGCGACATGTAATATATTGTGCTTCCGTGCTTTGACATAGAAAATCGACTGGTTTTTTGTGCAAGTTGTTTGTGCGACGAGGTAATCCTGAAGGTCCTGGCGGCGGTAGAAGCTTTAATGATACCGTCCGTTACTGTTTTTCGTTTACTACAACTGGCACAAAGCTCCATTTAATTTGGTTGCGTGGGCTGATAGCCGCCGCAATGCCAAGGACTTGACTATGTTTACTGGATTCCTGATTTCGGTAAGGCGACAAAAAGGTGTTTATGTACATAAACTGGTAGTAAGTTTTGTCTCAAGATACCACGACGCTGGCTTGACTGTCTGAAATTTTCATCTGCCCGTGCGGCTTTTGACCAAGATTGGCAAAAGGCTTTGAGTGTGTGGAATGATTTATTGACTCATGAGCTTCCAGTCATCATGAGATTAATAGTGTTTGTCTCTGTGCATTTCTTATTCATTGACCAGTCAAGATCAGGCATACGCAATGTATCGACATTATTTGTTACATACAGGTAGCTTGTGCTCTATGGAAATATCATAACCCAGTATAGTCCAGCAACCTCAATCAATGCACATCCATTTTGCAACGTGTCTACGTAGTCACTAGGAGCATGCAGTGATCACAAGCTGGGCAGTTTGGTAGAGCACATCCGACACACTCACTGTACCTCAATGTGCAACATCGGTAACGTCCGAACCGTGACACTGAAACGGGAGAGGACCGACAATGCTGCAGTTTATAGCGAACGGACGCGCCATCCAGTCTAGTGCAGCGGAACAGACAGTATCCTGAGCCACTAATGTCTTCTTCACTTACGGGAGTTCTCTACCCTTCCTTACACTATATATACGCGCGCATTCGTAATGGTATTCCAGTCAGAAACGCAGACGTTCCATACTGATGCAACGAGCTTGCAGCACGTTAAGGCATTGGAAGGGGCGTTTCCAGCTGGTAGCCTCTTGTCTACCTTGTGTTGAAAAGCAGCAGTAGGAGTGTTTGGCAAACTTGTGCAACTTCGTTCATGGCGATTCTACGAACCATGTTTTGTGGCAGAGGGAGCATCTACTCACAGCTTGCTTACAAGATCTGAGCATTTAGAGTCCATCGAGGTCGATAAATTGATACACCACCCAAGGGTTCGAAAAGCATTGATCACAATCAAACGCCCTTACAGTGAGGGACTGCCGTAAAAAAGGGGGGGATTGCCGAGCTACAACAGACTGACTGACCAACCGGTGGCACAAACTCCAAGGCACTCGCCAATTTGCTCGGTAGACCATAGAACTCATAGGCTGCGTACTAGACTGCTCTTACGTGTCTTACCCATAGCCACTCTCTCACTCCATAGTCATGCTAGAATCTCGCAATAGTAATGAATTAGATTTAGCCTACATGCCGTATCATGAAGGCCTCGTAAACCACAAGGCACCGCCCGTGCGCGCGAGCCTTTCAGTACGTGTCTCTAAACAGCAGCAACACACACAACACTCGTCATACTTTGGCGATAGCGATGACGACGACGTGTCGGACGACCCAGCTTGGATGAATGCGCCCCGAGGCAGTTTACAGCCTGCATTTCCCCCCAGTCTCATGAAGAAGGCATCCACTTGGTCCGTCACGGACTCGCAGACGTCGAGCCCACTGTCAAATCCTACTTGCAGCGCGGGAGAAGAGGAAGAGCAGCAGGAGCAGGAGAAGCCACACGAGAACAAGAAGGATGACGATGATGACGATGATGACAGTTTCCCGTCCACAATGCCGACGCTACGGACATCGTTTCGTCCTAAGGTTTCTACACTTGAAAAGAAAAGCTCTAAAAGTGGAAGTGGTAGCGTCAACAACAAAGCGAATGACAAGCTGACGATGGACCTAAAGCTTTGCAAATGTAAAAACATGCCCATCAACCAAGCTCCAGCTAATCCCATGGACTTAAACACGATGGTAAATCAGGATGTGCCTAGAAACTCGCGCAGCAATGCAGAGGTAGGAAGTCTGTCAGTAGAAAAGAAGGGATTGGATACGCCTATGAAGGGGTCGGATTTATCGGTCAAAGGGTTGGATTCGCCTGTCAAGGACTTGACGACGCCGGCAAGCGCTGCAGTTAGTAGAGGCAACAATGGTTACCGTGGCAGCATGATGCGCTACCGTCCGAGCGACATAAAGGCACAAGACTTTACGACGGCCATGATGTCGCGTGATAGCTTGGCACCTGAGAATTTCGAATCCAGCACGGACCTCTTATCTAGCAGTCGTAGCAGCAACTTGGCATTCAACGACCAGGCTGGCAGCAGTCGGGGCAGCAATGTGTTCGGCAGCAGTCGGGGCAGCAATGTGTTCGGCAGCAGTCAGGGCAGCAATGTGTTTGGAAGTAGCCGTAGCTTGGACACGTTTACTACCAGCCGCTGCAAGGATCCTCTCAGTGCGCGCGGCTCGGTGATGCATTTTGGCCCGCGTGTGACGGACGAGGGTCTTTCGGCTTATCTTCAGGCGGTCAAATCTGGCAACCTTCAGCTGCTACGCACATGCTTAGAGGACAGAAACACGGACTTCACTGAGCGAGACCCGGTTCACGGTCAGTCAGCGATGCATATTGCTGTGCGCTTCGGCCAATTGCACGCTGTTCAATTGTTGTGTGGCAAAAAGACACGCGGCCTGCTAATTGATGCCGTAGATAACAGACAAAATACCCCACTGCACCTGGCATCGGCCAAGTCGCGCCGAATCACCAAGTACTTGTTAGAGCACGGCGCTAGCGCTTCGCGCGTAAACAATCGCAACCAAACACCATTAGCAGTGCACATTATTACGACCAAGCGGGATGATCCGGTGATTACAGAGATGCTGCTGCAGCACAAGACGGATCCCAACTGCCAGATTGGTAACAGCACGCTGCTGCACAAGGCAGTAGACCTAGACCTTCACGAGATTGCCTACCGCCTAGTACGCCATGGTGCTCGTCTCGACGTGAAAGATGCTCAAGGGAAGATGGTGTTCGAGAAGGTTGACCGTAAGATTCTCCGCCAACTCTGCGGCAGAATCTCGTACCCGCCCGTGTGGGTTTCTAACACGGAACGCAAGAGCTGCATGAGCTGCCTGCGAAACTTCAGTCCCATTGGTGTTGGTGTGCGTCGTCATCACTGCCGCCACTGTGGTCGCCTTATCTGTGGGCGTTGCTCGCATGTGTCCATCGAGAGCGAGGCGTTTCCGACCACATTCATCGGCCATATTGATCGCAATCCGTCGGACGAGCGTTCCAACATCAAGCGTGTGTGCAACACATGCAGCAGTGTATTCGACGAGCGTGCCAAGCAAGCGAGCTCTCCAGGTGGCAATGGCAAGTGGTCTGATGCCTTTATGGATAGGATCATAGGCTGCGCCTGGGAGGAGGTTGAGCAGAAGGACAACAGCAGCAATAATCAGTCCTCGCGACGCAAGTCCTTTGAAGCATAGGACAACCTGTTGGCAAACCAGAACTGTTTGAACTTACGTGATGTGCAACCTTTATCGCTGGCAGTGAAGGAACAGATGACGCTAAACGGAGCAGTGCCAAATTGCACATTTGACCAAGGACGATCTAGTGTGACATGTATTGTATTCATCCATGCCAGTAATGATTGCGTTATGACTTTGTCTTATTCATTCTTTCTGTGACATGTCATCATCACATTTTTGGTACTGTAGTTTTGATATAAATGACACAATATATATATACATTTTACTTTCACTCCGTACTTAAATGGATATTCACAGTACATGAACAGCTGACTGGTAAAGCGTACACAGGTATTGAAAAGCTCCATTTTGTATCATGCGCTGTTGTCAAATGGTCATGGGTCCAGCGGGCACTGGCAAGGTAAGTTACTAATAATACAATCAACTATCAATACCTTGTTGCTTTATAATAATAATAGAAGAATATAAGTGAATATTAACGCATAAATGATGGTGTTATTCGGTGTTTTACAATCGGGATGCGCAGTCGACATATTGCAACAACATGCACGAGTTCTGCGCTGCATCAGGACGCATGACGTACATTGTGAATATGGATCCTGCAGCAGAACATTTTGATTATCCAGTGGCCTTTGGTAAGTATTGTTTTGATTCATTTTGAGCCAGTACAAGTGGAAATAATGATTTCTGACTACTCTGTAGACATTCGTGATCTCATCAGTGTAGAGGACGTTATGGAAGAATTGGGATATGGACCTAACGGTGGACTTATCTACTGCATGGAGTGGGTTGAGTTTTGTTGTATCTTGGTGGCGGTTGGTATAGATGGTGAAGGATTTTGACGGTGTTTCGTGGTAGATATCTTGTTCAGAATCTCGACTGGCTGCAAGATTTACTGTCCGAATACAGCGATGAAGACTACTTCATCTTTGACTGCCCAGGTTAGTAGGGTGACTAAATTGGTAGTTTCGTGTTGCAGTGGTAACTTTGGTTTTTGTATATGGCCATCCAGGCCAGATCGAGTTGTACTCACACCTTCCGGTGATGAAGCAGCTTTGCGACTCGTTGATGGACTGGGGTTTCAATATTTGCTGCGTTTACTTGGTGAGTTTATGCTTGCACCAAGAAAACACATGCTTAGTTTACATCGCTAACCGCCGTGGTGATTGCGTAGATCGACTCTTTATTTATTGTTGACCCGACTAAGTTCATCTCCGGTGTGCTCTGTTCGCTGTCGGCAATGGTCCAGCTTGAGCTTCCTCATATAAATGTGCTTACGAAGTGTGATTTGGCTGATGAAAAGGAGCTGTCGAAGTAGGTTTTGTTTTTACTAGCTTCTTGGCTAGTTGATTGACTAGACGACAGATTTGGCTTTAGATGCTAATGCTGTTTCTTGTGACTTACAGATATCTGGATCCGTCAGAGGGGTACCTTCTCGAAAACCTTGCAAATGCTACTGACCCCAAGTGGCGTCCTTTGAGTGCGGCGATCTGTAATGTGGTGCGTATAAGAAGTTACTCCATGAGCTACACGAAGGACAGGCAACGCTAATTTTGTTGAACGTGGACCATTAATGTCTTGCACACAGATCAATGATTTTAGCATGGTGGCCTTTGTTCCCATGAATATTAATCGCGAAGAGAGTATTGAGACCGTACTCATGCATGTTGATCATGCGATTAATTATGGCGATGACTTGGAGCCCCAGGTACTGTCTGAATTGTAGTTGTGGTCTCTGGTATTACTCACATGTTATGTTACTCTACATCTACATTTGCAGGAACCAAAAGACCGGGATGCTGACGAGTAGACGCATTGAAATTCTCTTTACCAACCACTTTTTGCTTGCGGTTTCAGACTTTATCATGTGCCTGTCGTAAATGTATAGTTGTTGTTGTAAGTAGCTTTCACAAACGTTCGCACAAGGGATTACGATAAAAGTGATTAAAAACGCTTTTACCGAGGCTTGTCGTGCTCCATTGGGATTAACAAACAAGAATTTCTAGTCATATTGGAAAAGCCTTTGCCGCCTTTGCCTTAAACAAGACAGTCGAGGCGTGAAGTAGTTTTTGGCAAGTTGCAGGAAAGCCTGAGACCCATCTGAACCTAGAAGCCGCGTTATGGTGAAGTTTCAGTAATTTGTTGTCTCTAGACATTAGTCTTGACTTGAACGACAGGCTGATCCATCGAAACTTGCGTCAAAAGAAGGTGCGGGTCAAATCTACCTTGCAGTTTTCCAGTGGTGCAAAGACCTTAGCACTTCTGGTCTCACTTTGCAATTTGACTGATCTCAATTCAACTGACTGCATTCCTCCTACACAGCTCAATACACGCTTCCAACATTGACTTGCAATGTCGTTGTTAAGGCTACTCTTCCTGATCATTGGTGTTACCATCACTTTTAGTGCATCGTGTTTGGCTACGGATTTTGACAATACTACTGCTGCCAGCAAGTCGCAATATCTCGCTAAGACCAAAGCGACTAAAGATTATCACGTACTCATGCTTCATGCTGTCAACCGGGAGCGCGTAGCCCGTGGATTGCCAAAGCTTTGCTTGAACAAGAAACTACGACATGCTGCTTTGGAACACTCAAGGGACATGGCCAAGAGACGATTTATGAGTCATATTGGCTCGGACGGTTCGACCTTGCCGAGTCGAGTCGAGTCCGCGGGTTACAATTGGTCGCATGTTGCAGAGAACGTTGCTGCGGGTCAGAAAACAGTGGCTATTGTCATGGCAAGTTGGATGGACTCAAAACATCACAGAGCCAATATCCTGAGCGTGGACGCCAGGATGTTTGAGTGCGGCTATGCGTACAGCTCAAACAGCAAGTATAAGCATTATTGGACGCAGGATTTTGGGTCGAGCAGCGATGAACGATGCGATTGAAGCATGTTGCGGCTTGGAGGTCGTCTATGAGGTGCCATGAACAAGTTTTCAATTCTTTATCTTCTTCCTCCAGATCATTCGAGCGATGCGTTTAAATTCCCGTCCCATCATGACGCACAACAATCCTCACTCAGAGACTAGAACGGCACAATGATGCCAACCAAACATCATTAAACTTTACATAATCTACATTCAAAAACAACAGCAGACGTTTTCATTCAATGCATGCATCTAATACAGACAATCATGATGCTCTTGATTCAGAGCGATTTCTTCTTGATCTTATCAGTTATCAATGGAAATATGTGTGCACTTGTTTCTTAGTCGAATGGCAATCACTGCTTGTGATACGTCTTGTAAGTGGTGACATGTACTATGGTTTGCATAACCAGTTGTCATTTGAATATCGTCGTACATGTCAATGTGGCCGACCGTAGGTGCAAGTCGCTCATATTTACTTGAAAGCTATAGTACTAGACAACGTTGTAACACGGACTCTTCCTGTCACCACCAAACATGTTCAATGAGTAGCACGCACGTGAACTGGAGAATCCATACAAGAGCAGATTGCTCGTTATAAACGAATCAACTGGTTCCACACGCACGCTGACAGAGAAGATTGAAAAGACGGACAATTTTTCGTTTCAAATGCTGGTGATGGAGAGCAACAAAGTGTTGTTCTGACTAGCAATCACCATTACAAGTGGTGATTCCTTTTCTATATGGACAAGGTGCAACCAGAAGGTGTTCATATATCTCATCAGGGATTTCGTAGGCCTGGAAGCTGCAGCTGACGAGTTAACGCTCGAAGTGTGCTTCATCTTGTAATGAGGCAACGTACGTAAGTTCTCATTCCTGTATTAGTTGCGCTTACGTGTCATGCTCCCGATCTGTGTGTTATAATTGCGAGGATCGTTCAACTGCGGCTTATATTCGACGCAATCATGGATTCCGCGAAGCCTGAACAGTGAGGGACGGTTTTCGGCTTGGATGCAGCGCTTCCGTATAGCATGAAAGATGCTATCCATGTTGCTGCTAAGAATTGCGTCCGAGACAGGCTTATACTCCTAGCAGACAGTGGTGTCAGGAATGCGACACAATGAGGCTTTTGGAAAAAAGACACTGTCTCCATAGATGAAGATTGGCCTGAGATGCTACAGAATTGCAAAGCTACCTTCAACGTGCCTGTCCTATGATAGCAAACTGATATACTTCCTACGACTTGAGGATCGCTAGCAAAAGTCTCGATCTAATGGGTTAAAATAGGGCCCTCAAGAAGACAGTAGGGATGAAGTGCCCTACTAGGGAAGAACCTAAGTCTCAAAAGGTGCGCGACTGGCGCGTAGCTCATGTAGTGGCACTCCTTAAGCAGAAGAGAGCAGTGAGTTTTGCTTCACAGTTATGAAGGTAACGCTTTTCCTTCAAGTGTATAATCGACGTTGCGGTGTCAAAGAACTTTGCAAGCTGCCCGACAGTCGCGAGGAAGGGCAACGTTTGTTCGCGCTTTTCGAGTGTGACGGAAGCAGATGAGGCTAGAATGTGGAAGAATGTGGAAGTATGAAGCGGACTTGCTGTCAAGCCTTGACAACATGAAGCCGTTCATTGTCATGGCAATGCCATAGGAGTTAGCTGTTCTGTGGTTTCTGATAAAGCATTGGTGAGTCATGTTGCTATCGTTGTCATTGTCATCTTTGCCTTCAAGATGGCAACCAATCTATGAGACCTTTGTAGAACACACTACACAAAGATTGAGTCTGAAGCTACAATGTACCACCCAGGGACAGGCTTATGCACTGCTTCAGTGCACCGCGTCAGTGTGAACGTTTGCATTCTGCGGCATGTGACAGTCAAACACTCCAAAGCGAGTGTGTTTTTTTCGCAAGTGCTCGAGCATCATTCTCCAATTGTGCCGGTCTCAGTAACTTCCTCCCGCTTTACCAGGACTAGATCAAGTTGAAATGTCGTTGTTGGAGCTGCTTAAAGCCACGTTCGTGTTCGTTGCTGTCACCTCCGCCCTAGATAGATTGAGCGTGTCTGCAGAATCTGACAACAACGCTACCACCAGCACCATGCGCTTTAATCAGACGAGTGCAACGCTCGACTACCACGTGGTTATGCTCGATGCTGTGAACAAGGAGCGCATTGCTCATGGACTACCAAGCTTATGCAGGAACATCAAGCTGAGAAATGCTGCGCTGTTACACGCCAAGGACATGGCCACGAACGATTTTGTGAATCATACAGGATCAAATGGCTCGAGCATAATAATGCGAGCCGAAGCTCAGGGCTATGAATGGAATTCCCTTGCGGAAAACATTGCTGCTGGTCAGGCATCTGTGGGCAGTGTGATGAGGTCATGGATGAATTCTCCGCCTCATCTTGCCAATGTCCTGAGCACCGCCATCACGATGTTCGAAGTCGGCTACTATTTCGTGGCTAACAGTACGTACAAGCACTACTGGACTCAGTTTTTCGGATCGAGTAGCATTGAGAAGTGTAGTTCAGTCTAAATTGTCTACAATTGTTATAGGGGGGTCTCTTTACCCCAACACAATAAAAATAAACAAAGCTGTATTTGAAAAGGAGTAATGACATGACTAGCTATGCGCAAGAACAACTTTAGCTACGTGAATCGTTTTATGAAGCGTGTGTTTAATTTCTTCCCTGTCGTCGAAGTAGCACCATACGCTTGCAAGATAATGTGTTTCCTGCATATTACCGTCAAATTAACGAGCATATCGGACGGATTGTCGATATTTGAAAGGTAAAGTGGCAGATCTACTCAACGTAAAATACGGTAATATTCCCTGGTAAACAATTTTATAAAAAACACTTTTCGTAAACAAAATTCAAATGAAAACCTACTTGATATCAATTTTTGTGTCGAGTAAAAAACTCATATCTAAGGTAAGAAAAAAAACACTTTTTTTCATCGCATAAAAATCCACCACAGCAAGTTTTAATACCAAACACGAATACCGACACCTCCCTTTTGTGCATCATTTATCTAGAGTATGGCCGAAGACTTGAGTGTCTCTATTCCAAGTCGTAAGTATCTGCACAAGTCGTTTTACTACCCTCAATAGTAGCTTAGTTCTAATCTATTTTGTATCCTATCGTTGTGTAATATAGTCGAAACAAGACAATCAATCGAGAATGAGCCCCGTTCGATCCCTCTTCTTCCACTTGGTCGACGTATGCGATTAACCCTTGGTCAAAAACGTGAGGTAGTGGATCTAGTAGCAAGTAAGAAATTTACTCATCGAGAACTTGCCGAGAAATTTCATGTCGGTCGTACGACAATTACAAACATTTGTCGACAAGAAGATTTGATTCGGATTGAAACGGATTCAGCTGATGCACTCAAGAAAAAACGTAAAACAACGAAATGTACCTACGATTTACGAATTTTGGATGAATGTTTACACAAGTGGAGAATGGAAATTAAAGTCTCGAATCCAGAAATTAAACTTACAGGTACTGTCTTACAGCAAAAAGCTATGGAATTAGCATGTAAAATTGTTCAAGAACCATATGGCACATTACCAGATAAAATCAAACACGCGTTGCAAAAATTTACAGGTTCAAATGGATGGCTCGATGGATATCGAACGAGATTTGGATCATTTAGTAGCAAACAATTACATGGAACTGGAGAGCAAAGTGTGATTAAAAATGTAGATATTCAGACACGACTACGAGAGTTACATTATAGCTTTAGTCATGTAGAGCTACAAGATATTTGGACAGCAAGTGAGTTTGCACTCATGTACAAACTACCGGTCGTGGATGGAAGTAGTCATATGGATGGCAATAATGGAAGGTATACCGTGTCGCTCTTTATAAGTGCAGCGGGAGAAAAGTTTGACATGCAAGTGATTGGAATGGATCGGAATCCACTCTTACTGGAAGCAATTGATACAAAAAAGATGTACAAGATTCAATATGGATACTCAAAAACGGGATGGCAGGTAGCACAGACAACTGTGACCATGCTAAAGTCTCTAAACGTACTCGCGCGAGAACGCAAACGCACGTTTCGAGTAATCTTAGACTCGGCAGTACCACATGTTAAGGCTGCAATGATTTTGGATTCGCAAGGAGACCAACGCACATTCTTTGTTTATGATCATCTGCAGATTTACTTCTTGCCGCCAAATTTCAAGGTTCCGCGGTTCCACCCATGCCACCTTGGTGTGATTCAAGCTTTCAAGGCTCGCTTTCGCAGTGAAATGCTTGAGACACTGTTCAGCATTTATCGACAGGGCGTGGTCAGTCAGGACCCTCATGGCTTCCATCCACAGCGACACTTGCACACGCGCAACGTTTTCCATTGGCTTTACGTGGCCCTTTACAGCCTTGAAAAGCATCTTGTCCAGAATTGCTGGGTCCACAGCGGCTTATTGCCAACGCAGGTGATTGCATCTCTCAATTTGCGTGCTATCTTAAGCAGTAATTGCGTGGTCGGATCATCCGTCAATATTGTCTCAAACACTTCCAGTGGTAGCGGGAGCGACAGTAACGCCAGTGCACACACTGGCATTAATGGAGTGAACAAAGTGGCATCAACTGGAGGTGCTGACTCGATCACCACCACTCAAGAAAGTTTGCCGTCTTCAGCGCTACTGTACCGCGATCTGCAGCAACAGATGACAAATATCGCTCTGATTGCTCCTGACTTTCTACGCTGGATTGGCGTAAATGACCCTATGAACGCACAGGCATTTGCGGAGATTGAAGGCAACGCTTTGGTGACCGACCCAGGTATTGACGAGGTCCAGATCATCCGCGGTGTGCTGCAAAAGCATGGGTACCTGTCCACTAAGAAGCTTGACGACGAAAGTCATGCGGCAGGGTCGTACGAAACCTTTGGTGATGTTGCTGAGGAGTCCTGTCCGTCGTACGACGAGGTCGTGGCTTCCATACGAATCCTTAAAAACTACTTGCGTCTGTCAAAAGACGTGTTACCAGCCCGCGTCGAGGCAATAGTGCAACTGAACAAACTCAAGAAAGCAGTTGACACTGCCGCCTTCCGTGACGCAAACATTCGTGACGTGTGAGTGCAAGGCTGTTCGCGGTGTGACGTACAGTATGTACATGTACTTGGCATTGTTCATTGTATCTCACTGTTGTTGCCTTCATCGTACACGTGCCAACTGCGTGGCATAGCCTATTTAGTACATTGATCGGAGCTTGTAGCTGGAGGTTGATGCTGCAATAATAAAAGCGTTGTCAAGCTGTCGGTTTGCTTGAGATGATGCCGACGGTGACGGACTTTGCACAAGCGGGACTGGAGGTAGTAACAGACAATCTTCCAATGGCAGGATTGCACGTTCAGCAATAGCCTGATGCTCAATACAACGTTGACGGCGTGCGTAGGCTACAAGCGTCCGAATAGCGCTGACCAACCAGTCGCGGTGACTTGAGCTCTGAGTCTCTAGATCTAACGTGCGGTTTTGGAATACAACCGAGAAAGAGCACGCCTCGAGCATTGTAGTGGATGGGTACTTGCGAAACACAGCAGTTTGCCGTCCATCATGCACTTGCAGTACTTCTGCCAGGTCGACCGCTTCGCTGAGTCCTCCGCGCTTGTGTTGCCATTGTAGAGTTCCGCAGCAATTGCAATGGAGTCTAGTAGCATGGGCACCACCGCGTCGGCCATACTTCAGCATCGGAAAAAACATATTAATAGCCTGGACCAGATATGAGCGGTGCTTGCCGCCGAAGCGGAAAGCCAGCTCTACAATTTTCCACCGAGCACCTTCGACTGTCTCTAGCTCTTCATCTGTGTACAAATACGTCTTGCGCTTCTTGCGCAAATGCAGCGTCTCCAGCATGCGTGGACCAAGTCTCGAAAAGGCGCTCTTCTTGTGCTTCTTGCTAGGATGAGTGTCTTCAGATGTGAGCGAAGGGGTAATACCTAGCGATGTAGGCATTGAAGACCCTTCATCGTTAGGGGACGGGATACTGAGATCATACGTAGACGAACATGATCCAGCTCTTCTACGCAGCGGGTTAAGCATGGATTTACGACGGATTCCGTGAGAGTTGGCCAATGGTTTGCGCATCTGATTCGAGTCCGAGTCGTCTCTAAGCTCAATCACCAACCGTCGCACACTTGAAGTAAGTTGGTCGTGAGCTGACAACAACGCTTCTTCAGCGCCAGAGCTCAGGCGATGAGCTGGCTGTTTTGAACGGTTTTCAGTGAGACTCATCTCTTGTGTCAATTCAGTCTGTTTGCTACTAGATTTCACGTCATCGTTGTTGTTGTTGTCGTCGTCCAAATCGAGCTCGTCCAAGCCATTCATCTTGCCAACATCTTTTTCCGCGTCATCATTGTCCTCGATCTCATGTAAATAGTCATCTTGGTTGGACACATCCTCGGCGGCGCTTCCATAATGCATGCCCGACTCATCTATTCGACTCTTGCTCTTGATCCGGTTCATTAACTTGCGCACGCTCATCCGCATGTTCGCTGAATCAAAGTCCAGCTCCTCACTGTGCACAGAAACATCATCTTCCTCGTCGTCGTGTTCGTCGTTTGCTTTGAAACTGCAGTGTAAAGCATCTTCGACAGCAATATCCTCCTCAGAACCTTGACCAGCCTTGCGTTCCTCCTCGTCAACAATCTCCTGTTCGTTGTTATCCAATTCATAACCGCAAGTCTCCTCCGCTTCAGTCACCGTCTCTTTCTCCTCTTGATCATTTAATGCCATCGATGGCGGTGCAAAACTTTCGTGCAAGGCGCTAAAGTCCCCAATCTGTCCTTCAAGCATCGTCCTTCGCATGAACTCGTCGTGACTCAACGGCTTTGCGAGCGCTGCTGTACCAAGAGGTTGCGCCGGATAAAACTGGAGCCGTTGAATCATCGCACGCCCGTTCCCTTTCTGACAGCTTCCACTACTGAGTGCGTCGTACGCGGTCAGATTCGATTGCACAGGAGGTATCGCCCCTATACTACAGCGCCGTGTACAACCTGCCATCTCTTTCAATTCATCGTCACGGTTAGGCTCCATAGCGTCGTAGCTGCTGCGGTTGTTACTACTGCTGTGTGCATTCTCTGAATCAATCTGAAACACGCTGCCACGCCGGACAATCGCTGACAATTTACCCAAAAGCACCACACTCGATGAACGATCACGTGTGCTGCGATGACCAGTCGACCACGTCTGCATTTAAGTAAAGTATATATATAAATGAGCTGGTAAGAAGCTGTATACGTGTGTTGGTTTACTGGAAAGGGAAGACCGTCGTTTGGACTTGACTTTTTTTGTTGTTGTTGATCGATCGATCACCCCTAAAAAGAAGCAAGAGAAAACCGTTTGACAAACAACAAGAGAAAGTGACTAAACGATTACGTTAGTCTCTGAACAAGACAGAAGACGGACGGACGGACGGATGGAATTGTCTTGAATGTGGACTAATACGACGACAAGGTTATCCACTTGGAGCCGTTGTAACTAAGTGTCTTCAAGTGCTTCATAATGTATGAAGTTTTACAAGATGTTTCTTCATGATATTACTATTTTCGTCTACATGTTAAAGTTATAATATTTCAAAGGATTTTGACACAAGTCTCACCCAACGCATGAACAAACCGTTATTTCCATTCTTACTGAAACGCAATCACATCCGTCAGTCAGTCACTGGCTGCTTGCATACGTATTCGTGATAAAATAAAAAAGCTATGACGCAACTACATGATAAATCTTCCACTACCTATTTTAATGGCTTTTCTTCTTCTTCTTCTTTATTCAAAACAATCACGGGCTCTAATGGTATTTCTCTCCTCTTTATTTTTTCACACGCAAGAGAAAATGCTGACTAGTTTTTAGTGTCAAACGTCTGACAATGAAAGTTCTACTGAAACTCGTTATCTTGAGTCATGGCTTCAAGCGCACTATTGCTCCATGATCACTGAAACGAGATGGAGGAATTGTAATCAACTGCTATACATGCTGACGTACGTAACGGTCATAGATGGTACAGTGTACCATTCCGTCCTACCAGAGAAAAGACATGGGGAATTAGACCAAAAATGGGCAGTGGTGGGAAAGCACCTCGTCGTGGTAATGCTACACAGCAACGTACTTGTCTCCAGGGTGGTAGGATACGATTACAAAGTACTGTAGATTCTACCTATCCATCCTCTCGCTTATTGGTATGGCATTCGTACTTTTCGCATGCTCTTTCACGCCATGAGAGCGTTTTGAATGGTCACGCATTTAACCAACAGCTCGAAGTGTTTCTACCGTCAACGACTGGAAAAACGACTGCTGAGTCACTACAATGGGAAAGTGGATTTTATTATGACATGAAATCATCGTTAGATGTGTTTCTATCGCCATCTTTTATCCGTGAGTATCTACTAAATGACGGGACTGTGGTGATGGTGACCAAGAATGTGGCACTGGATGCATCGCAATCCGCAATGTTGTTACCTTCTGGAGAATTGCTGCTACTTGTAGATGCTCATACGTACCATCAATTGGGAATTGTGGGTGAGAAATATGGCAAGAACGTGCCTGCAACATGCAGGACGATGCATGTGAAGCAGGGTCAAAAATACGTCATCACGCTGGACTTGACATCGTCTACGTTTGTGGAAGAAGGAAAAAATTGGCTACGAGATCGAGTGAAAAGTTGTTTGAGTACGAAGCTAGAGCAGATGGAAATGGTGGTGTGTGCGTACAATCAGCATGGCTCGGCACGCACGATTTTGTTTGGAGATGATGATGCTTTGCCACGATCACGGGTTGAACTGAATGGCAAGACGACAACGTTTAGTGAGATATTTCTGCCCAGGTTTGATGCTTTTTACAAGGAGTTAGGTGCGAATGACAGGCATGGAGATGAAGAAAACGACAAGCTTAGGATCTCGTTGCAGGAGGCATACGACTGGTTGGGACTTGTAGCCTGCCGCTTGACTAGCTTGTTAGAGAGGAAAAAGCTAGAAGAGTATGTGTCGACGTTCACAGGCACTCCTGATTTGTTTGAGTGCAAGCCAGACAGTGAGATCACAACGGTGCGGTGGCGTGGTTTGTTGTCAACGCCATTTTGCTCTACTGTTGTTGAAAAGGTGCAGCGCGCTGTCAAAAATGGAGAGCTGCCGTGGGGTGCAGTCACGGTGTGGGGCTTCCCGGATGTCTTTGTGTCTTCGGTGCAGCAGACGAAAACGAGCAAGAGCGCTAAGCGAACAAGCGAGGACAAGCGACGAGAGCATGGATATTTGGTTCATGGCAGCAACAATTATACACTGCTCATGCTGCCAAATGACGAGTATTTCATGTTGCAAGCGCTTGGCCCGCATGACGCCACCGTATAGATAGAAGACAGTGTTGATTGCACGCTAAGGTTACATGTTGCTGGCAAGGTTACAAAAGAGTAGACCATTGCATTGGCATCTGATTGTTACGTTGCCTGTAGCCTACCTCTGTAGCTAGTTCGCGAGGACATTTTCCACAAACGCTGCAACGGTAGATAAATTGGAGCCAGCTTCGGCGAGGGTTACTGCAACCTTAATATGCTTGCGCGCTGACTTGACGTTGTTCTTCTTACCATGAATGAGCGACAGCCGCAAGTTGGCAAAAAAACAAGTGGCGATGTTGCTGTTGCTACTAGAAGCGGTGATAGTACTACTCGCATTATCTTCGGCATCGATGGAGCCAACAGATCTGGTAGCGGTCAGCGAAGCTACAAGCTTCCACACGTTGATGGCAGCATCCAAGAGCTGCTGTTCTTCGTAAAGTCCACCCAGCTCAACGAGAATCGGAACCAATCGGCCTGAAGAAGGCACAGTTCCATTCGCAATAGCGGCAATTGTAGCCAAGTAATTGTTGATAGCCCTCGCTGGGTTTGAGATCGAAAGCAAACGTGATTCTAACAGTTCCGTGTCCACTGAACGTACCAAGACACCGCTCTCCATGCCTGCTGCCACTCGGTTCAAAGCTTTTGTTGAAGTAGCAATCGCTGCATCCTGGTCATCAAGCTTAACAAAGCAGTAGCTCGTTAACAGCTCTAATTGGGCACTTTCGTACTCATTCGTGCTGAAATGGATAATGATAAGCCAGTCTGGAACAAGCGCAATAGGTGGCAAAGAACTTCCTCGTACGACTCATGCTTCGCTTCAAGATTCATCCGCTTAAGAACACTTGCCCCAGCCATAATGTAAGCTTGCGGGTTCCAAGGCTGAGCACGAATCAACTTTTGTGAATCCCAACACAAACTCTTTGTTTCAGGTGGACCAGCCTTGATCAGTCCCAATAGTGCATCCAGAAATATGCGATCCGCCGTGTCCGTATTAGAGGACGGAAAATTGCTCGCACCAGATTGTATGTATTCAGCAAGACAGCTGGACACCTGAAGGGTTTGCGAATCAATCGTTGCAAGAACAAGTCTCATCCATAGCGCATTGGAGTTGACATGGTCATCAATTTGTGATAGTGCTTGTAGGCGAGTCAGGCAACCATCTTCGGCGCCTACCCACCGCTCATGAAGCTCCACCAATCGAAGATTCAGATGGTCCCACCTAGAAAGAGCTAACCCAGCTTGACTAATTGATGACAAGAGATGATTCTTACACGCTGCTGCAAGACAGGTCGCCTGAGCGGTGAATTTGTCCATTAGCAAGCTCGCCATCGATAGGCCCACGAGTGCAACGACTTCGCTATCATTCGACTGTGAGTCGTCCTTCGACAACAGCACCTGAAGCAAACCCAACGACTCACATTCCTTCGATTGACGGTACAGTATATGCGCTTGGACGATGTCTTGCAGTACAGAGGATCCTCCTGGCGATCGATTAATCTGTGCGCTGATCTTGTGCAATAGCGCAGACTCGTCAGTTGAAGAACCCGGGAGCTTACACGACAGTTCGCCTAGTGTGGTAACGAGCGTGTTCCATTCAAGTCCCTCACGTGCATGTTGTAACGACGCCGCGCGGGCGTAAGATGTCAAAGCTTTGGAGTAAAGCCCAAGACGATGCTGTGTGATACCGAGTGCATGCCATGCGTCTCCGTTAAATGGGTCCCGCTCCAAATACTTGGTTAGATAGAACGCCATCTGCTCATTGCCGTGTTCTTGCGCATTCGTAATCGATTCATCAGCATTATCCCCGAATTCAAGTAGTGCCATGCACAAACCGAGCAGAGCATCCAAATCCAATCCAGTCTCTAACGCACAATCAAATGCTTCAATCGATTTCCTTTGCTGAACTGCCGAGCTAGCACGGCGACGAGCCAACATAGCATATCCATTCCACATGGATGGGTTGCTTGGATTTATGCTCTGCAGCTGGATGAACGATTTTTGAGCTAGAGGCGCTGTTGCCGGCACGGTGTCAGCATGGCTGAGGTAGAACATGCCAAGATTTGCCCACGTGGCATCGGTATTGCTACCAGTTTGGATTGATCGTGCCCAGGCAAACTGCTTTACTAGCAGATTGTCCGACACGAGTGCCAGACCATTCCAGGCTAACGAGCACGAAGGATCCTCCTGAAGTGCCAGCTTGAAGTTCATCATTGCTTTTGCTTTAAGCTTCACGATAGCAGCATCTTCGGTAATGTCGGTGTGACCTTGTTTGATTGAAAAAGCTGAAGTGAAAATGCCATGCATATTGTTAACAGCTTGGGCTTCATACCAATAACTCAGACCGACGTCGTAGTATCTCTCCGCTATTACCACTGCATCGGAACTATCGGCAATCTCCTTTTCACTCTTCCTGGCAAGCAGCACAGCTGCCTCATAAGCCTTCCTTCCCATGCTAATAAAATCAACCCACGTCGAACCTTCATTCAAAAAGTTTTCAGGTGACAAGTAGAACGCAAAGCAGTGGATGTCACCGATCAGCTTACACGCTTCTGCTGATGCAGACACAGGTGAAGTCGATGGCAGTCGATTCATTATGTGCGATGCCTCCTTCAAATTAGCAGCTGCATTGCCGTACAATCCTTCTGCGCATAAGTATTTTGATTGCTGAAAAAGCAGGTCGGAATAAATCATGGAAGCAACGGTCACATCTGGATCGCCATCCAACAACTCGCCAGTAACTACCGGTTTGATACGATTTAAAGCATCGTCGAAAAGCAACAATGAGCCTTCAATCCTTGCCAGCTCACAGCGAATGCACCAGCTGTCTTCGCCAAGCTCAATGGCTTTCAAGTATGACCTCTGTGCTGAGACTTGCTTGCCAAAATTTTGGTAGATGTGTGCCATAATTACCCAATAACGAGCATTCATAGGATCATTACGCAGCACTAGATGCATTTTCCCCACTCCAGTTTCGTCGTTGTGCTCCACTAGATGTTGAGCTAGCCGCAGAAGCGCCCATGTAGGAGCTGTTTCCTGATCAGTAGTTACTTGCTTCCAAAGTGCCACGCTCGCATCGTACTTTCCTTGCAGATCGTACAGATTGGTCAGGCCAACTCCTGCTAGCTCATTAGTGGGAGACAGTGAAAGTGCCTTTAAGAAACACTTCTCGGCACGTAAAATGTCTCTTGCAACGTCTTGGTACCATTTACCCAGCCAGGAAAAGATCTCCGCGTCGGAAGGCGTCAATTTGGCGGCCTGTAAAAGATGACCAAAACAACCTGTTTTGGCGGTTTGATGAGAGCCACCCAAATGCCAGTAAACAATTGCCAACCGCTTGAGTGTTTGTCCTCTGCCAAAAACATCACTGGGCTTAATGTTGCCTACATTTGCCTCCAGCAATGCTTGAGCCTGCTGGAGAAAGCCGAGCTGAAACTGAAGCCACCCGCGTAAGCATAACACGGTAGCTCGCATTGTTTCATCCTCTACTTCAGATAACGAAACAGAATCGATGACGTCGAAGGCCTCCTGCTTGCGTGCTTTTTCTGCTAACAACTCTGCTGCTGCAATTGCCGCTCTCACCGCAAAATGAGAACGAGCACTCTGTATAACCCATCGGTAGTGCTCCAAGGCCTTATCCAATTTACCTGAGTATTCGCATGCAGCTGCCGTCATGAACAACACCTTCACGTCGGAGTATCTACATCCAGTACGTACAACATATAAGAACCGCAACATATCATCGGGTCAGAAAGGCATGTGACGTACAGCTCATGAAGCGGACCTTCAGATCCAAGTAATTTCGTCTTGTCATTCACCACTTGTTTGGCCAATGCAAGGCGGTCCAAACAACCATCCACATCGCGCGCTGCAAGTGCGATAGACGCTGATTCGACCTGCACGCGAATGCAAAGAGCACATTCCTGGAAGGATGACGAAGCATATCCTGCGAGTGCGTCAACAAGACTCTCTCTCGCCTGGTGCAGCAAAATGCATTTGCAACAGTCAGTGCGTAGCTTCCTTAACTCGTAAAACAAACATCAACTTGCCTCACTACTCTTTCCCTCGCCTAAATACTCGACCGCTTTAAACACAAGAGCCATTGGACTCTTAGGGTGGTTTACGAACAGTCTAGTCGCAATTGCTTTGGCTTGTTCAAAGCTGATAGCTGTAGTCCAAGCACAAGTGCAAAACTTTCGTGAGCAGCGCTGTCCACCACTGAGCAACAAACAACAATTGCAGATAGAACTTACGGCTGTCTTGGTCCTCGGATCGAAGAAGTAGAAATTCCGCCGGGATCTTGGATCCAGGAAACCAATCAATGATCGACATTGCCAGCGTATCCACCGTCTTAAGAAGTACCGTCTTCTTTTTCGAAGTCTTTACGGCATCCAAATGGAATCGCATAAAAAACGCAATCGCGACGTCCATGCGCTGCCGAAATGCGGCAACCTCTTCATTTTCGGCTGCCCAGTCCAAGCGAGATGCAAGCGCAAAAAATTGGCTACAGATCTCTTCCACTGAATAGCTGCCACAACAATCTGATAGAATGAATCCAGGATGCTACAACCATGAACGCAATGATATCTCAGCCTAACGAGCTACTTCATAGCCCTTTGTATCACTAAGAGAAATGGCGAGACAATCATACCTGCAGTAGATCAACTAGTTCAAACCAAATTTTCAGCTGTGACGGAAGCTCTTCGTTCGGGATCTTCTCCAATGATATTTGCCTCAAAGCTCCATCCTGCTCTCCTACTAGTGCGTACCATGAGTCAAAAGCCTGCACAAAGACGTCGCAAGTCAGTAAACAAACCAGAAAACCACGTTTCATAGGTCAAATTAACAAAGCAGTATAACGTACCTTTGAAAGCATTTTCAGCCCCAAAGCAGTGACTGCTACCTCTGCAACCCATTTCTGACATCGTTTCAGCTTATTGCCTCTAGAAAGCCCCAACCCATGGCACAAAAACAATCAGCAAGAACACAAACAGAATAACTACTGCGTTCTCAGTCTCGTAAGACCTTAAATTAATGTCCACAAGTTTCTCCAGTGGCTCCAACTTGCTCTTGACGTTATTTGTAGCTTCAAATAAGTCCACAAGATGCTGCAAACGTCACTCAATCACCAAAAGTCTCTTTATGATACGCTCGACACCACAAATAAGACAATGTTGTTGTCTCTACCTTCCATGGCGCTGGCGTCTCTGGCTTCAGATCTGCTGCTCGACGATACGCTTCCTCACAGTCTTTCCACTATAGGACAATTATGGGTAATTTATAATTTTATCATATACCAAAATGTATTAAAAATTAATTAATTGCGCATAGAAAATGGGTACCATTAGTCAAAAACGGGTACATACATACCTGGTGTAATTGAAAGCACGCGAGCCCTACGCACATGAAAGCCTGGAAATTGTTTGGATCCAACTGTGTTATTCGACGACTAGATTCCAATGCTTCTTGATAGCGCGCAGCTTTCAGAAATGCCGCGGCGTCCAATAGCATCTGCCGTAACATACTTGCCGACATGGTCTCTAAAAGTTAAAAATAGGCTTGTCTTGATTTAAATTAGGTCGTGTTTGAATAGAAAAAAAGTATTGGTACTCAATCTGGATGCCCAATTTGACAAAAACACCGGTTTATTTCAAATTCACATACATTCATTCAGTATGTGGAAAGCTAGAGCACGGGAGGCTGTGACGTCAATACGTCGTTCGCTTGCTACGCCACTGCATCCGCTACCGAGAGAATACGAGAAGATTATATATGGGCGTCATTGTATGCTACAGTTGCTTCCCCCGGGTCTGATTCGGTCTTATTCCATGTCGTCTTCCTCGACGCCAAGTACGTGGCAGGTTCAAAAGGATGAAAATGGTTTTTTTACTGACGGTTTTTTTGAGTCTGGGTCTTTGTTTGGGTCTTTTCTAGCGACACAAAAACAGGCACAAATGGCAACAGCGGCACTAGTGGCAGCTAGTGTTGTGTATTTGTATGTGACGACGGAGCATCAGAGTGAACAGGAGAAACAGCAGCGTGAACTGGAGATTGAAAAGGAACGAAAGCTTAGCAGTCGACTTGCAGCAGAACTTGTGGCTGCTGAAGTGAAGCAGAATAAATCCGACTGGAAGGCCACGCTTGAGCGTGTTGTACCAGCCATTGTGTCGCTTAAACTCAACTCGCCTAAGGTAAAGTAGAGGCAGTAGTTTGGGTTTTATGTCTGTGTCTATTACGTTTAGTGTTTTGTAACTGGGTGTTTTATTTACTATGGATTTTTATATAGTTTTTTGACACTGAGTTACCAGGCAATGGATCTGCAACTGGATTTGTAGTGGATGCAGAGAAGGGGATCATTTTGACCAATCGTCACGTGGTCGGACCTGGACCTATTGTACGCTGAGATAGAGCTTCTATGTTGTAATTGATGTATATTACTGAGCTACTGACGATGTGTTTGGTGGAGGAACTTGAAGGATGCGGAGGCTGTTTTTCAGAATAATGAGGAAGTGCGTGTGATTCCTATTTATCGTGACCCTGTCCACGACTTTGGTTTCTTTCAATTTGATCCGGCGGTAAACGTTGCGTGTTTTGTAATATTTTATGTGACCTATCAAGGCACGTTGTTGATTGGATCTTGCTTGTTTATTGGATGAGAAGGATGTAAAGCACATGTCGGTGCCGTCGTTGCATCTGGAGCCGGAAAAGGCCACCGTTGGAACGGACATTCGTGTGGTTGGCAATGACGCCGCCGAAAAGCTTGCGATTGCAAGTGGCACACTGGCTCGTCTTGATCGCGACGCGCCAAATTACGGGTACAACAGCTACAACGACTTTAATACGTTTTATTACCAAGCTTCGTCAGGAACGACTGGGGGATCTTCAGGTTCGCCGGTGCTCAACCACGACGGTGATGCGATTGCACTTAATGCCGGTGGTAAGATTGGTACAGCAGCATCTTTTTATTTACCCTTGAATCGAGTGAAACGAGCGTTCGATCTAGTTCGAGAAGGTAAGGACGTGCCTCGGGGCACCATCCAGACTGTTTTTAATTACAAACCCTTCGACGAGGTGCGCCGACTTGGCGTCGACCCTGCCACGGAAGCACTTGTCCGCTCCTCTTTTCCTTTGGAAACGGGGATGCTGACAGTAGCAGAAACAATCCCAATGGGTCCATCGAGCAATAAATTGCAACCAGGCGATGTGTTGGTACGAGTTGATGGCGACTTGGTCACTCGATTTGTACCGCTTGAGGCAATACTCGATGATAATGTGGGGAAAGAGGTAGGCGTATTAGGTTTCGACAATGTGTGTCTACATAGTGTTTGACCTACTGTTGAATGCTTCTGGTTTACAGGTTGAGCTTCAAGTAGAGCGTTGTGGAAAACTGGTAACTCATAAATTGCAGGTCCAAGATTTGCACTTGATCACTCCGTCGCGCTTTATTGAGATCGGCGGGGCGGTCATTAACCCACTTTCTTACCAGCAAGCACGAAACCATGTAATGAGTCCTGGAGCACCATACGTGGCTGATCCGGGTTACTTTCTTCAACGTTCGCGTATTGGTCGTGGCGCGATTATTCACTCAGTGAATGGTGTTAAGACGCCTGATCTTGAAACGCTCAAGAACTATCTGAAACGATGCAAGGACCGCGATCGCATTGTTGTCAAATTTTCAAAGCTGACGGATAAATCAGAGAAGGTTGAGGTTGTGCATGTGGACCGCAGGTGGTTTCCGTTCTGCGAGTACGTGCGCGATGATAAGCTTGGAACGTGGCATTGTGAACATTTCTCACCACCTAGCGAATGCAAAACCGCTTGCGGTGATTATGACAAGGATGCAGCCAACGATGAGCTTATCGGTTCAACAACAACCTTGCCTGGCAAAAACCCTGTGGAAAATAAGCTTGCCCGGTCCTTGGTGACAGTGGATTTTGACAGACCATTCAGCGTGAACAGTTTATCAACGTCGAACTATCGTGGCACAGGACTTGTGATCGATGCGAAGAAAGGACTTGTGGTTGTAGACCGCAACACTGTGACTGACTCAATGGGCGATGCCATGGTGACGTTTGCCAGCACCATCATGGTTCCAGCTCACGTGGTGTTCGTCCACCCGGTGCATAATTTTGCGATTGTTCAGTACGACCCAAAGCTCATTGGATCGACACCTATTGAAAGCTGCCAAGTGGCATCAAAACCACTCGTACCGTCCGATCCGGTGTGGCTCGTAGGTCTCATGAGCAGTGTGGGTCGGAGCGGCCACTCTGATCTTGTGTCTCGTGAGACGATCGTGTCTGGCGTGAAGTGGATTGGGCTGCCAATGCCCATTCCGCCGCGATACCAGGAGCATAATTTAGAAATGGTATCTTTGCAGGACGTTGTTGGCACTGAAGGCGGTGTCGTTTGTAGCGAAACGGGTGAAGTGGGTGCGCTTTGGGCATCTTTCTCTTTTCAACAACAGCGCCATAGCTCAATGGTGGAAAGCCAATTCAACCGCGGCATTCCGATGGATCTAATCATGGAGAGCGCAGCGCCGCTTATGCGTGGGGTGACGCCAAAAATATACGATCTGGGCGTTGACTTTGAGCACTTGAGTTTGGCTAAAGCTCGGGAGCTTGGACTTGGGCAAGCTCTAGCCGAGATTCTAGAAAAGGACGCGCCAGATCGTCGGACAATCTTGACCGTAGCCCGGCGATGGGGCGGTACAGAGGCACATGACGTGCTTAAGAATGGCGATATTTTGGTTGCTGTCGACGGCAAGATTGTGACAAGTTTCCGTGAGGTAGAACGTTGCACACAGAAGCCAGAGGTACAGCTAACAATTGTGCGCGATGGACGCGAGATGCATCTGAACGTAAAGACTCTTTTCATGGAGCGTACAGAGATCAACCGTATTGTATTCTGGCAGGGATTGTTGCTACAAGCGCCACCATTATCTGTCTCGGCACAACGCAGTATCTCACTGGACGATGGCATTTATGTGTCTTGTCGATATGCGGGTTCACCAGCGGCTCGTTACGGTCCACAGCCCACAAGTCGTATCAAGGAAATTGATGGTATCAAAATCACCAGTATCGATGATTTTCTTCGCGTTGTGACTGCAAAATCCACGAACGACTCGGTGCGTATCAAATACACTGATTTAAGTGGCAAGGATCGTCTCAGCACACTCAAGTTAGAACCTAAATACTGGCCTACCAGTGAATTGGTTTACGAGGATGGCGAGTGGCATCGGCAAAACCACCTCTAGAACAGCCTTTACTCGTCACACAAGACGCAATAGATGCTTGTTAAAGAAAGTGGTTTGATGCAATGAAGTGAAGCTGACAAAAAGCATTTTTTCATGACAAGTATTGCTTTCTATAAAATGTAACCTGGTTGTCTTTAGTAATTGCTTTTTTTCTAGTGCAAAAACGCCTATGGACAAAATAATGGATAGAAAAAAATGCAGGTTCTTCTCAGATCTGAGTCGATCATAATCCCCGTTTCAGTGACATAAGGCCAACCAAGCTTATAATGGACACACCACCTAGCATCCGTCAACAATATGCTGCACCTCCACATGAGACACCAGCAGAGCGACGACGACGTCTTGTTAATCGTCGGGCAGCAAAGTATCGTCACTATCGATCGTTAAACGCTGCTCAGAATGTATCAGATCCAGTGGTTGAATTCCAGAGGCAACAAAATAGTCGCAGACAGCGCGAACGCCGTTCGCTGTTGGACGACGAAGCGCGTGACCGCTTACGCGCGCAGAATCAACGGCGTCAGCAGCTTAGAAGAAACAATATGAGTGATGTAGAGAAGGCAGAGATACGAGAGAAACAGCGTGCACGACAGAGACAGCGTCGACAGAAACTGGATGATGATGCGCGCGATGAGCTCCGGGAACGCGAACGCCTGCGTATCACACGACGACGGCGACATATGAAGGCTTTGGAAAGGGAAAAACAGGCAAAAGAACCAGTTTTATTGCTTCCAGCTCAGTTTTTACAGCCTGCATTGACGGAGACAGAGATGTTGCCGCACTTGAGACTCGCGCCGGAGCTGCCAACGTTGCGGCAGCATCAGGAACAACAAAGACAGAGGGAGATGCAGGGAAGGGCATTTCCGTTTGTCGGAGGCTTGCAGAGTACACTGCCACCTCCACCGCCGGTGATTGAGCGAGTAAGAGCATTCCAGCACGAGAGGATCCCGTCCCTGCCTCATTTGCAGCAAGTGACGAGACCGGCGACTACGTCCTTGCTGCATATCACACCACCACCGATTTTTACGATCTCGGAAACGACTGGTGGTGGATCAGGAATTGCGGCGTCGACAGGGATGCGAGCGGTTGCTAGTGCAGTGGTCGCGGCAACAAGACCACCGCCGCAACCGACACCGATCATACCCTCGGTTAGTTTGCCATTGGCAAACAACCCCCCTGACAGCACTGTCAATGGTTCCACAACAACAGCAACAATCTAGAACACCTATTGTTCTCCCACCTGCACACCGTTCGCTTCCTCCATTGCCTGACTTTCTTAACAGTCGCGAAGCGTTCAATCCCGCCGCCGCCGGCACTGCTACTGCTACTTCGACGCGCGTTTCACGGCCATCAAGCAGTGCTACTAGAGCTCTGTTCTCATCTATTACCGACCTTCCTCCTGTGCACACCGATGCATCAGACGTCGAATCGTTTTTCAACGATGAGCAAAGTGTGGACACTAGAGAAGACGCGATGGTCAAAAGCCAAGGTACCACACGTTGCGATTGGAGCAAACCACCGGAATTTTGTGGAAGACATCTGGCCATAGCCTACTGCTTTTTCCTACGGTTAGTTGTGGAAAGTGGCGACCTACCCAGTTTGTTGATGCTGCCCTGTGTGGCACGAATACTTCACAGTGCACGAATAGTTTGTATGCGTGTCGATGCCGCGGTTTTTAAAAAGGGCCAAGCTGTGTCTCTGACATTCTACAAGAGCAAAACAATAGAAATAACACGGAGTTCAGCAATTGGTAATACCTCTTGGCGCGCTCTAGTGTGGAGGCTGAGAAGCAACATGAAAGCACTGATGCTGGACAAAGGAAGCGCCGTTACGACGACAAAGAAAGGGTATCAGTGAGTTTTTGGCGAAAAGCACGAATGCTAGCTTGCAGCAGAGAGCGCCATCATAAGTGCCAGCAGACAACAAGACAAGATGAAGCATTAGTATCTTGTTTGCTTTCATCATGGCTGAGCTGTAGATTCGACTCCAGCAAGTCTTGGTTCCACTCGCTCACGACGTCTTTCGTTCCAGCATCGAGGGTTCTTTATCTCTTTCAATCTCAACTGGAGAAATAATATCGTTCGAGGTCTCTTGAATTCCTCGGTGACATCCCACTGTTCCAGATACTCGTCGAACTTCTTGCGCTTGGTATATAGCATAAGTTATAGAGGCCAGTCACCAGAAGAGAAATCAGATGTTTGTATACGTGTGAATAGATTGGCGATCAGGCAGAAGACGTTCTGCCCTTTGTACGTCAAGGTTACAAGAAATAGAAATTTGATACTTGATTAAAGTATGCAATTCTGTATTTTTCGCTGGTTTTAGTTACGTCGACAACTAAAATCCTTTGGCCGAAACTCAAATGTCAGACCACGAGGATGCGGCCGTCACAATGTCCACAAGTTGGCGTTATTGTATGCACATTGCGTATTATGGAACAGAATATGTCGGGTGGCAACGACAGCAACATGAGATGAAAAGCAGCTCGGGCCACGATAGTGTTCAGGAAGTGGTAGAGGCCGCAGTAACGGAGACACTGGGGACTGCTCAGCGTGTCAATGTCACTGGAGTCAGTCGCACGGATGCAGGCACTCACGCACTCTATGTAGGGGCATTACGAGCGCTAAAAGTACAGTATCGTGATCTTGAGACGGAATTTGGCTAAAGGGGATATGTGAAATGTGCTTACGTAGCAATTTGGGTTCATCCGTCTCGACTCGGAGCTGCAAATGTCGTTGACAGAGCTGAAAGATCGAGTCAATGACAAGTGAGTATAGAGTTACCTTGATGATGAATAGCTACTAGCTACTTATGGATGTTGTTGTATAAACAGATTAGGGGATGGTCGAGTGGTGGTGCTGGACGTGACAATTCCAGTCACGGGCCCCGCGCGGATTCGGTCACGCTACAAAAAATATATTTACTATTTGCAGCAGGGAAACCGACCTGATTTGGAACTAGGCAAGTACTCTTGGTTTCTTGGAAGAAGATTAGACATTCAGCGGATTCGTGACGCGCTCAAGTGAGTTGTAGAGGCAAGTCTGGTTGAACTGAAGATTAATCAGTTGTGACACAGGTTTTTGGAGGGCACGCATGACTTCAGGCCGTTCTCGCAGGGATTACTGAAGCACGAGTTGAAGGATATGAAAACAGTGCGTACAATTATGTCGACGAAAGTAGTTGTTCGACGGTACGTAATCTATCACTCATGTGTTGGCACAGCAAAAACCTGATGTTGTAATGATAGGAACGTGAACTTTTCTCTCGATCCTGATGTGTGTGGTAGTGGTGAAATCATCGACACTGCAGACATCTACCGAGACGCAAAATATGCCACGGAAACGCATAAACCTGATGACACAATGATAATCACAGCAGGCGAGCTCAAGAAGTGGAAGGTCGGGCAAGCAGATATTGCACCTGTGCATTTTGTTTGCATTGAGCTTGTGGCCAACGGCTTTTTAAGGCACATGGTACGGCGCATTGTTGGAACGTTGCGACCAATAGGTGAGGGCACCCAGCCACCTTCCCTACTGGAACATGTGCTAGCAAGTGAAGTCCCACCTGGACCATCCGCACCGGCAAAGGCTCTTTGGTTACATCGTACGTGGCTCACGCAAGATCAGTATGACGCAGATTCTGCAGCGGAATAGCAGATCAATTTTTGCGTTACACACGCAAATTTGACTAGCAGCGAGAAATGATCTGACAGTGCTACGTAGCGAGCTCTTCATTTTTTTCTTCGTGGACATCAGTAGCAGCTGTTTCTGTAAACGTCGCTTAACAGTGCAACAGCAACTAGACAAAAGATGTCATTATCAAGTGATACAATTCTGACTGAAAAGGTAAAAAGGACGATTGCTACGTATGGCCCTTGGGTTCTAATGCTAGCTGCATGTGTATCATTTCTTCGTCTTCTCGCTTCCTATATTTGTGTCAATATGAGTCAGGACGCGTACTGTTCCATCCACTTCAGCGCCGTTTTCTCAAAAGCTGTCTTGTTCTCGTGCATTTGCTTGGCAATACCAGGCTCCAACGGATTGTTCATATCTGGCTGCTCCAAAATCTGCTTGATTGCGGTCAAACAGTGGAGTACATTCAGCGTCGGGGTCCAGTTCTGCCTCACAATAACAACAGTCAAATACAATGTAAAGTACTCTTCATCTTTCCATCCTCTCTCGTCACCCACCTCGCTAATGATATCGGCACAGATCTCGCCAGACTGTGACTTGATATTGGGATGATACACGCGTGTCAAAAACCGAACCTTAGGGGCCTTAAAGGGATATTCACTAGGAAACTGCAGATCCAAGTTGAACACACCACCAGAATAAGGCGAGTTCTCCTACAGTAACAGCAACAGTAACAGCTATAGTCAGCATCCTCTTATTTCAACACACATACTGTACAACGTACAGGTCCAGCAAGAATGGCGTTCCAATGCATGAGATCATCGTCTACGGCGCTAACCGAGCACCAATCAGGTGAGTTTTGCTCAAAGTCCGCAAGTTCCTATAGCATCATCATTACAATTAAATCTCGTTACTATTTTGATAGCAACAGACCAATGTTGTTTGTTTTATACGTACTTTAGTTAAACGACGAGCCATTATGTACCAATTGAATAGAAATAAAAAAAATGTCACTCGTATAATGCCAATTACAAAATGGGTGATAACGATAGAAGAAGAAATTCGTTCAAGACTTGAGCTAAAAATACGCGATTTGAGAAACGTATTTTTAGAACAAAGTCAAACGCTAAGCTACTTTTATAATACTTCAATCTGAGCCGGAAATAATCCCTTACCTTGTATCTATGCTCACAAGTCGCAGATAAGGCACTTCCACTAGAAGCTGCTGCAACAGCTTGCAAGTGTTATTGAGTGCAGTATGAATGATCATGATACACTTACACTGCACTTATACGGCGATTTTAAGCATAGTTGAAGCTTGTGCTTCTCCAAAAGCTCACAGCTGGAAGATTACATTGCAGAATAATATGCTGTAGCCAGATACGCTTTATATCGTCAAGAAGCGACCGACATCGTGGAAACGTATGAATACAGCAATTACACTGGCTGTACATTCTTGTTGCATTTTCGTTAGAAACGCTAGTGGGTGCGTTTAATTAGTACGGCGTGCGGTTAAGCAACAGTGCGAGACTTACCAGACGGTACTAGAACTCGTGCGCTGGACCGCGTTCTGCCAACTGTGAGCACGCCCGTCATGGCGCTCTATCTGAGTCAGAACGACTTGGATCATAGTAAAGGATCCAGCAGTGCAGCGTTGCCTTTTTGTTGATTGTGAACTTGAAATTTGAGTGCTGAATAATAAAGGATATATCGAAGAAAGAGCGTGGTGCAGCTTAACATGCACACGCAGCATGTGTTACAGCTTGCAATACATCAATAAACACGTGGTTTAATGCATGCAGACAAAGATTGTGGAAAAGTCCAACAAAGCTGGAGTTGTCTTGTTTGCTTGTTGCACCACTGGGTTACCAAGTATATGATTCAATTCATCATCTAAGATTTGTGCTTACCGCGCAAAAGCAGACCACGCACCGATAATGAAGAGCAAGATGGTCGCGACAACAAAGCCCCTTTCAATCGGAGAAGAGGTGGCTGCAAGCCTTCCAAAATACGATTTGATATTCTTGGAAAGTCTGTCTAACACTGACGCCTTCTGCAGGGGCGTGACGATATTGGAGTCCTTCTGTATGTTTTCAACTTGTTTGACAAGCGCTGGATTTTTCGTTAAAATACTTTTCGATTTGTCGATGATTCCTCGCTCTTCTTCCATGGCATCGTGGGTTTCAATGATCATGTCACTACCCTTGAGGTTGCCACAAGTGGCCTCTCACTATCGATGAGGGTGTTGCTGGCGTCAGTTCGTGCATTCTTCACCTCGACGATTTCTCCAGTGTCGGCAAGGCTACAGATAAAGCACGCACCCTGCATGACCGCAACGAGAAGCAACACAAAGGTAACACGCATCAGGATGTTGCTGATTGCAATGTGTCAAAGGTACAGCGTCAATTGCCAAATGATTGTAAACCGGTACGATCACAGCGAGCACGTAGAAAGGATAAACACTACGATATTGCTAATGACAAGCTGTTAGACATTGTATGGTATTATAGCCAACCCATCGAAGCTATAGGATTTGTGGATTGTGACAACACAGTGCTAGCTAGTACAAGTGATGGGACCGTAAGCTACTTTGAATGATGCAGCGTGCATCAGAGTTCCAAAAGCTTTTGAATGGGCTACAGGCTGCGTTATCGAAGATGATAGGATCATGTCAAATTAAAGAAATTGACACGTACCCATTTCAACGGGGCCAAGTGTTTATTTGACTGCTCATGTGCCAGTGGTACCAATTGAGTGTTAATTCTGGTGCAAAACCATCCAAAATTACCCAGCCACGTCACATCACTCCCATATGGCGACCTATAGACTCTACCACGCTGCCATATCAAGCGTATCGAGCACAATCATGAATCTACCATCCATTATCATCTGTAGCGCACTCTTGGTGCCTACCTATTGAGTTTTGATTCTGGTGCAGGACCATCCGACATCACCCGGCCACGTCACTCACTCTCATCCGGCGATCTATAGACTTCCCTGGCGTATCAAGCGTATCGATCACAATCAAGAATCTGCCATCCATTATCATCTATAGCGCACTCTTAGTGCCAACATATTGAGTGGTTATTCTGGTGCAGGACCATCCGATATCACCCGGCCACATCCATCATTCCCACCAGTCGACCTATAGACTTTACCACGCTGCCGTATCAAGCGTATCGAGCACAATCATGAATCTACCATCCATTATCATCTGTAGCGCACTCTTGGTGCCAACCTATTGAGTGTTTATTCTGGTGCAGGACCATCCGACATCACCCGGCCACATCCACTCATTCCCACCAGTTGACCTATAGACTTTACCACGCTGCCGTATCAAGCGTATCGAGCACAATCATGAATCTACCATCCATTATCATCTGTAGCGCACTCTTGGTGCCAACTTATTGAATGTTTATTCTAATGCAGGACCATCCAATATCACCCGGCCACATCCATCATTCCCACCAGTCGACCTATAGACTTTACCACGCTGCTGTATCAAGCGTATCGAGCACAATCATGAATCTACCATCCATTATCATCTGTAGCGCACTCTTGGTGCCAACCTATTGAGTGTTTATTCTGGTGCAGGACCATCCGACATCACCCGGCCACGTCACTCACTCCCATCTGGTGAGCAATAGACTTTACCACGCTGCCGTATCAAGCGTATCGAGCACAATCATGAATCTGCCATCCATTATCATCTGTAGCGCACTCTTGCTGCCTACCTATTGAGTGTTTATTCCAGTGCAGGACTATCCGTCATCACCCGGCCACTCTCCATGAAGATCGTGACGGTCACTGCCTCAGGCATAGGGCCTATGACTATGGCAGCAATGAGAGTTCTCAACTCTTGTACATATGCTGCAAGTTCACACTTGCCTTGGCGACACGCCAAAATCCGCGACCGATTACGGTGCGCTGGTTTGGCGGTGCATACTGCCGGGTCATCTGAACTTTCAGGTCGGCCCATGTGGGAAAAGCATCTTGCAGTGATGCACCACATGTGAATGCCCACTGTTTGGCTAAGCCACCTAACTTGCCCGTGGCAAAGCCAACACGGTACATTTCATACGTGATGTTGGCTACAAACATATCCGACTCAACCTGTTGGAACCAAAGCATAAGGTTGTCACCTTTGCCGTTGACCTTATCGACTTCCATTTGTATGGGTTTTGGTCTGCGGACCACTTCTTGCGCTATAGTCGCCATGGGCGAAGGTACAGAAGAAGGCATTTGTGCATTTACATGCTCGACTAGAGCCTTATTGTATTCATCAATCATATAAATACGCTTGTTCACCTCCTCTTCGCCCTGGGCGATGAGGTACTCCACGCCCTTAGGGCCAAGGATAGGGAGCAGCTTCTGCAACCCTTCCTGTTATGCCTGTGACAGGCCAATCGCTGACATCACTTCGATGTCCATTCTCACACAGAAAAGTAGTCACAAACCCAGGTGCGGGATTGACTACAAGTGCTACCAGGTGTAGCCGAGCTACTGTAGCTACGCTACTTATGCACTATGTGCGGATGCACTATGTGCAGACGAAGTAGTCAAACTACTGTAGTAAAGCTACTTATGCACTATGTGCAGAGGAAGACAAGCTCAGAGAGCTTTTAAGCCTTAGGGTGTTTAACCCTCCTAGGCTAGCTCGTAAGCTTGTGCCTATCGGTACTAACAACCGAGTCTCAGAGAGACTAGTATCAAAGATACTGATTCCTGAAAAGGAATAGAACGCTCAAGCTGTAAGGCTTACAGAGCAGGTTTGAGACTGATTTATATTTATGTTTATCTTCTAGCACTATATATAGAAGCACCTACTCTATAGTTAGTGCTAGTCACTATTTACTGGCTCTATAGCCTGTTATTATTATGCAACATGCATAGTCACTATACTTTAAATCAGTATAGTGACCACGTGGCTCTCTGCCACGATGCGACCCTTCGTACTTCAGAAACGATCACATCACCTACTTTTTGTACCCAAGGTACAGCCACACAACATTGGTGTGGCAGATGTGCATATAAAATACACACCTTCGTGTAAACACCGTTACACAAGTAGTATATTGATATTAGCATCCATAGTACGTTGACTAAGCTTGTCACGATGTGCTGTCGGGAACAGAAAGGCTTGATTGCATTTAAAAATCGCGCGAGACACTGACGCGGGATTTCCCATGTCGGCTCAAAGAAAGATACATGGTTGCGACAATTACGTAGCCTTGTCTACAGGCGACATGACGCTGAACAGAATGATCAACATCTGGGATGATCCTTCGGTAAGTTATACACTTGGAGATGAGTGGAATTCCCTTAATGTACTCAACTCTAGACTTGCCTTTCATCATAGTATCAGCCAAGCGCATATAGCTTGCAACCATGTAGCTGAGCTACCGTAGCCACGCTACGAATGCACTATGTGCAGAGGATGTAGCCAAGCTACTGTAGCAAAGCTACTTTTGTACTATATGCAGAGGAAGTTACTAGGTTAGGGTGTTTTGAATATACGCAACGTCTGTTTATATTTTCGGACTAACAATTGGATATCAGTAAGTAGTTCGAATTAGGTCAACCAACTCGTTTTATCTTCGTCACTTACCTATCTGCTTTAAACCCCCAAGACTTATCAAGAATCCCACGATTATGAAAGTCTTAATTGCTGTCGCTGCCCTGACCGCTGCTCTGACCACTGCTCAAAACCCTGATCGCGTCGCGCCTAATGCCGAAAGTCTCAATGAAGTCTGTAGCCCAAACAGCAAAACTGTTGTGGGCAGCTATAGTATTATTAACAGCCTCTCGAGTTCGAAGGCGGTTTCTCTGTGCACCGCCGTCACTGATGTCTCCGACAATAAGGTTACTTGGTGGGCCCGCTTCACAGGGGAAGGTAGCGAGATTCCGGAGATCGGATCGTCTGCGTACGCCATATCCAACTTTAAAAGCGCCTCGCTTCGCAATGTCAAATAAATTGATACAAGTCTAACGTATGAGTACGCGCATACTTCAAACGTTATGGGGTATGTCGAATACTCCCTTTTTGCTACAGCGACGGTACCCGCGCGACCACTTTTGATCTCAATGTACGGGTCGCTGCGCTGCGTGGTATTACGCCTAGTAACGTCAAGGGGATACGACTTTCGATGAGGTGACGGTTGCTGATGTCGACTTTGAGCGAAAGTATAGATATGACGGTGCTGGGTACCAGTTCGTCACGTTCGTTGCGAAGGACATAACGAAGACCTTCAACGGTAATTTCATGGATTTCTTCAGGCTACTCCACCCGAAGGATTTTATAACCCTTCAGTCGGCCCACTACCTGTATTCCATGCAGGCGGGCACCTTTGTATCTGAGGGTACCTACGCCAGATATTAAGCTAAAGCAGGGTCTTCTCTAACTGAATGTAAGCTCAATGTGCGCTTAATGGCACATTTTTTCAATCAATTGCGATGGCATGCACAGCGAATTTGCTTCATCACCATTTCATTCTCAGACAAATAGTAAAATAGCGCTCTCCATACCTTAGCGATAGGGTAATCGAGTTTGTCTTTCTCCTTCTAATTCACTATCCCTGATGTGTAATGAATGCAATTCGTTTACATTTATATAACTCGTTTGCGCTTTCATGCGATGACGCTGTTCATATCACTTATCAATTCGCGGGTGAAGGACGACGGACGAGCTACAAGACCAGTATCGACGGGCCTTCAACCTTGGCCGGAGTCCCAATTTTGGCGTCAAGGTAAAAAGAAGGGAAATTTGTTCTCCGCTGCGCGCGCTTCACAGGAGGCGGCGCAACGCGCGAATCGTAAGGTGGCGATCGCAGACCATCCGTTGGAGAGAGGCAGCTCGATCGCTTCTTCCTCGTAACAACTTCTTAACTTTTGAATACGCCCGAAGTCACAATACCATTTACTCAGCGCGAGCTCCGGTCCCACGCGGCAAACTCCTTTTTCAAAACGTGCTGCCATCATTGAAAGTAGAAGAAAAATGTTATTTTACTCGATGAAATTCTACTGGGATCGGCAATTTGGACCCATTATTATCTTCTTCTTTGAGCTGACTCAATTTGCTTCAAGCATCACCGAGTTCAAGACATAAACCGGTCATTTAGAGTCCTGGCCAATCGGGCATCCTCCCGATTTTGATGACGTCAAATGTTACCGACAACTTTTGTCACCTGTCTCCCCGGTACGTATCTTCTGTCACAGTCTACAGTGGATGCACACACAAGTATTAGCGAAGCCACAAAGCCCACGGGCGCTGGAATATGGGCAAAATCTCAGTGCGTCCGCAGTTTAATACACAAGCAGTGAAGTCATTAGTGAAAGATCCTGTGACCAAGAAGTGGCAATAGCGCTATGTTCCCTTGAAGGCGCTCAAATGTACGACTTCCATTTGATGTCGACTGCTAGAAGCATTCTAATTTACGCATTGATGAAGTGGTCGTGTGTGACGTTGACCTACGTGATAATTTTAGCTTGGACAACGTAAATGCCTTGATTCACAGATAAGAGGTATTGTCATTGACACGTGATTTACATGTTCCGCGACGGACCAGGACTTTACTATGTGGTTCGATGCACTTCAATTTACCGTCATATCGGCAAGTTCTGAAAAGGTTTAAAGCGCGACCTGCCTAATGCCTGCGTGTACAAATGAAGGGACGATTCATTCATCGATTCTGGCACGTCATCTTTGTGTTTGCTGTACTCACTGAACTCGTAGGTATCGTGCTGTATTACCTCTATGTATCGAGTCTTGGGATGTCAAGTACAAGACCGAGGCGTGTGAGTAAATCCAGTTGCTTTTTACGCTGAGCCATTGCAGTGCGGCGACAAGCTCTTTAACGGAGGCTGGACCCTCCGCAATGGTATCATTGGTCGGTTGACATTGATTTGGCAATGTAACCTAAGGGGCCTCGCATTGCTGACTGACGTTCATACTTTTTCTTCAACGTGTCTGAGATTACAAGTATCTCGCTGCGTTTCCTGAATTTTGTAAAAATTGTGGAAGTCGGTACGTCGTGGTGCTCGCTATTTGCACGATTATAAGCCGCAATTTCTTTCATAGAAGGCATACTACTTAATGTTTTGTATTCTTGGGGAATCAAAAAAATGGTTGTTTTACTATTCATTGTATATGTTAGTGGCGATACTTTGCTGTGTCACTTCACTGAGCCGCTGTAAAAATCTATGAATTTGGTCTACCTTCCTCACCTTTTTCATGTTTGGATCTGCGACGATGGGTATTACAAAACCAAATGAGATTAGCGTGAAACAAGCGTCATTGAGGATGTTCAAAGGTTAGCGTGAATACTAGCGCCATTGAGGATGCCGGTGATGCCCGTCACGAGGTGGCTAAGTTCATGTATGATCAGGTGTGCAAAGGCAACGAGCTGAAAGTGGATGAATGTCGCACGGACGCACCACTGTCAAGCTGCTGAAGAAAACAACTGTGCATTTAGAACCGCATCGACTGCGCTGTTGTCTCCGTGCGTGACGATTATCGCTACCGTGACCCTGCCTAATTTGGTTTGTGGGACGCATTAAGCCCCTGTGCAACAGTCTAAGTGTAACGGGGTTACACAAAGGAGTCTATACAACATACACACTTGCCCTGTTCTTTCAGGATATCTAAGATTTTTGATACTGCTAGCATGTCATTGAGCGTTTCAAACTTTCAGTAATGCACAACCTATCCGGATTTTAGTGGAGGCAAAGATAAAATTACAGTAAGCGACACGGTTACAGCTTGGAGCAAGCAAATTTGAGCTCTGGGAAACATTTTCCATATCGTGAACTTATTGGAATTTTGATGCATCTGGCCACTTGTGCAAGGTCGAATTTAGCTTACGTCGCTAGCCAGCTTGGCCGCTTAGTGCAAAACCCGACACAACAGCATAGTGGCGTGGTCAATGCGTATTGAGGTATCTGATTGGTACAAAGAGTCAAGGCATTGTCCATTAGATGGACGCGGAGACGGATCATAGAATTTTCATTGAGTATTGATAGATATTTTGGCTCGTTTAAGATACTACTGACCAAAAAACGAGAGAGTGTTAAGGACTCTCTGGTAGGAGACGCGATTGCGTAGGACTTCTGGTAGGAGACGAGATTGCGTAGGCCGTTTGTTGCCAAAAATTGTAGCGCAGTCGATGGTGGAAGCGGAATACGTAGCAGGATGCTAGGCATGCATGGAAAAAGACAAGGTGTACGTAACATTTTTATGGAGTCGGAGGACGCGGGTACCCTGGCATTACGTGTGAGGACAAGTGTTTAGGTAAACAGTAAAGCTTTGGAAGGTCAATACGGACGATAGCCGTCAGACGTGATGATAAAACCACTCGCCAGGACCGTTTTGTAGATGCTTAATGAGATGGTTGGCCTAACTAAGGAGCACATACTAAAAAGGTTTCTTTGGAGGAAGGCGTGTTAGAAGAAGTAGCAAACAAAGTAAAGTATGCTGCAGCCAAGTTTAGCTGAGAGTGTTAATAGTGTTGGTAGTGTACTGTTAGGTACGGACAGCTACTGCTAGTGACCAATCCATTGCTTTTCAAGATGTTATTTGTTCTGTTTTCAGATATAGACCTGTTCTGACGCAAATCTCAGACAACACCTTCAATCTCAACGTCAATCCAAAAAACAATCACGAGCATAAGGAGCCAAAACTCTCGTTTTTACTTCCCCAATATTGTCTACAGTCATTGCAATGGCCAACTAATCGTATCTACCAAGTCTGCCAAAGTTGTAGACGGCTTGGTGCGGTTTCGGAAGCAACGTTGCAGCTTGTCTGCAAGAAGGTTAATAGCCATAACATTAATCAACACGAAAATCTTGTCGCCCGCGTACACGACCTTATCGGCGGACGGACATGTGTATACGTAAGGGTACGGAGCACCTCCAGGTCCACCTTTTGCCCGCAGTAAACCGATCGGAAGCGCGTGTGCCACTCCCGACGTCATGTATTCAAAGAGCTCTCCATACAACAGTTGCCGTCCACGAAGTTCTTTCGGGACATCATATAGTACGAAGCAGCTTTTGCCATCAAGTATTTTCCGAATAAACGTATTCAGCGACGGATTAAAGAAACTTTGAATCAGCAAGTCGTCCGCAACGGAAGAGGGAAACAACGCGCCATTCATGAACCGCTCTTGGAAAAAGGTCTCGCTATTGTCACCGTTAAAAAGCTTCTCGATTGTTGCGCTGTCTGATTCGGCTCCGTACGTACTTACTTGTTGTGCTGCGGTTTTCAAACTACCAAGAAAAAATGTCTGCACTGCGGCACAAGCGTACTTTGCCACCAAAAATTTGCGCTGGACCCAATTCCTTTTTGCCATAACAGTCGAAGTTCGTGTACATTGGACATCCTCGCGCAATGTAGACAACAGTGGACCATGGTAGCTAAAAAATCTCGATTTGGTATCGTATTCGTCATCGATGGCCTCCAAAAGTCCACGCCTATAGAAATTGCGCGATAAACTGAAACCAGATATGGGGTCCAAGAACCGGTTGTTGTTGACATCTCGAAGCTCAATAATTGTGAAGATCTGGTTGCACTGCAGTGCAGTGTTTATCAAGATGGCGTTAAAAATTGCCTTCGAATCATCATATCCCGCTTCATTGCCTTGCGCCAGCACGACAATCGAAGAGGCTGTATAAATACCAGCAGCAGAAAGAACATGGTGGTTCTGAGGTGATCCATGCACATGATACACCTCACCGAAGTTTTCCAGCTGAAGCCATGCCACAGTGTCAAAAGTGCCAGCGTCTACAATAATGACGGGGACAATCCGCTCAATATGTGGAGCTCGAACCGGTCGCAAAAAATTCACTAAACGAGACACGGACCGCTGTCCTCCACTCTCGTTGCCAATATTACAGCAAACGACAATGTGGCCACCACCAGCAAGCACTTCTCGAGATGGTGAAGTCGGGATCCGAGATGGATAATCATTAGCGGCACAACGCATAATGTGCTCTCGAATTTCCTTGGGAATTCTTCTTTCAACAGTGTGTTGCGCTTGACGCACTCGGCTCAACAAGTTACCGCGACTATGTACAAATGCCTCGTTCAAGGACAAGGCGGCAATACTGCTTATTGTTGGTGTACCGGCAAAAGGCTTGAGAGAAGAAATGGATTCAGCTATCAGATAGGCCGTTGTGCTTGGTGCAAGTAGATACCAGCGACCAGGATTGAACGCAATCTTGCCATCCGACTCAACCGCGATCAGAAGTACCAAACCATTCGACTGACGGTGGATAAGCACTGTTGCCTGAATGAAATTCATGCCATGGAAATGCGTCGTCAGGCAGCACGAGTAGATCTCATTGGCAGCGCCAGATATGTACTCGGACACCCAGGGTTTCAGCAGGTCAGCCTTATTCGGAGCAACATCAGAAAAATCTCCGCTCCGACTTGTAATCAAATTTGAAACGACGGTGGAGAGACCTGGGCAGCGGCAACTGAGGCCCATTAAGCCCAGTCGAATTTCATCGGCACAAACCAAATTTTCCTTGCTTATCCCTGCGGCCTCGAGAAGCGTACGGTTGTCGGAGTTGGTCAGCATGGCAAATAACTGCGTGTGTTCTTGTTTGTGCTGAAACACCGATAGAACACGCAGCACCGTAGCTGCATCTTCCTTGTTTTCATCGTCGGCATATTTGTTGGGAAGAAAGAATACAGCCATTGCTCGATCAAGCTGTGCATTCTTCAAGTCCGTTTCTATTAAAGGAGACCCGTGTACAAGAAACACGCGCTTATGATATAGAGGGTTCTGCTCCACATATTTTTTCACCTTTCGCTGGTATGAAGCATTTTTTCCTGCTTTATCATACTGCATGAGCACTACAATATGTGTTTCTCGAATCAAGCTTCCGCCACGATGTATCCATCTTGAAACAAGTGGCTTAGTATTGCGCTTTTTATTGTCATTCTTTCCAATTGCTTTTCCTTCCTCCATGGCAGTGTAGGTATCGTTTCTACATAAGCTTTCAGGACGCAAAATAGAGGATGCAGCAAAACTCTGACCAGTAGCTGTCTTATGTCCTTGATTGTCGCTCTCATGGCATTGGAATGCATCCTCGTGATCGGGGTGAAAAAACTCGCGAATAAAGTCTTTCGTCTGCGAAACGGACGGATTACCTGTCACAATCACGTGCACTGTATTCCTCGAAATCTTGTACTTTACTAATGTTCCGCGTTGGTCTCCATAAAGATTCATGAAAGCAGCCGACTCGTTTGCAAACGTGTAAATACCAAACACAATAATCATACAAACTGTAAGCTGTCCTAGCACCGTTTGAGGCGAGAAATCACCGTAACCCACAGTTGATACCGTCACAAACATGAAGTATATGGAAGAGAAAAAGCTCCACGTTTCGTTACAGTTCGAATACTCGTTCGTGCCTTCATTTGTCGCACTAAGAATCGTCTCCGTTCTGTCCTCATTGCTGCATTCATACACATGAAGTAGAAAACTGCTGGTATGTGGTAACTCTCCAAGCTGTTCGAGTGAGAAGAGCATGGCAGCAAAAAAGAAGACAAGACAAAATGTCTTGAATACCATAAGCAGAACTTGCGAGAAGAATGTTTTGTTTGGGTATCGCGTGAACAAATGATCCACGACCACATATCCTACATAGGACCGAATAAAGCCAAAATCCAACCACGATCGAAGGTGTTTGTTCCCCGCCACAATCGTCTGAAATGAAATCGCAAAATGAGCCACTACCGACAGCAAGTCGAACAAATTGTGCAGCTGCAGCACGAACGTTACTCTGCAGGTCAATCATGGATAGGTTGACTAAGTAATCAGAAATTCATCAATAAGAAACACAGTATGACACGCACTTGTTTTTAGCCGCTAGCCAGCGAATCCCGTACCCTGCACCCGTAGCGATTAAGAACAATGATTCAATCGACCACGACGAGAAAATCACACTCAATAAACCACCACGTACGACTGCATATTCAAACAAAAATTATTATTTCCAGGATAGAATATGTAGCATATTCAACTGTCAATGCTGTGTGGCAATCCACTTACTCCAATTGATGCAGACATAGAAACTCGTGACAATTTGTACAAGGTAGTTCTTCACAACAACAAGTAAGACAGTGTTTTGATATTTAGCACGGGTTAATCATACAAAACTCACCACAACGTTCGTGAGTGGAGAATCACAAAATTTTCGGAGCCGCTCGACGTATTTGAGCGAGGCAAGCTCGAGCCACTCGTAGACAATGGAGAGGACAACAATAGGCACTTGTATAAGCAGCCAGTAACGTACTTGACCCCAAATAAGGTACCACGAAGCAGTATAGCATTCAGCCGAGCTGTTTGTGATAGAACAAGCAGAGGCGATGGCTTCCATCGTGTCGGTCATAACGTCTAGCGCCAAACGGTGATAAACTGTAGACGAATTAGTTTTACTCCAATAGTAGCCTAACGGCTGTTTTATGTTTCACGGTCAAGAGTCGCAGACGAATGCTTGCTCACTGGCTTTTTCCTGTACCAACGATATTGGATGTGATGAGTGAGGTGAATTGAAGTCTTTTTTGCTGCAATTACTACGTCTGAAAGATGACAACTTGCTACTGTTTTTCAATACATGGCTGCAAAAATAGTAGTCTCTCTTTACGTGAAAGATAACGTTTTCGTCAGCTGATCGATCTAAGCAACGTGTCTCGATTGGTGTACGATACCTCGTATGATTTTGCTTTGTTATATCCTTCTTTACCTCTCGTTCCATCACTTATCTTTGTGCCAGCAACCTACTACATTTTCTAGCAAGTCTATTTGTAAGTCAGTACTTGGTGACTAAAAAAAATGTTCGTCGAGTCGAGCTGTACGTACTTCTTATGACTACTTCATGGTTTTCTAATCTTCTTGTGTCTGCAGCCCACATCTCCGCAAAAATCTGTAGCTGATGTTACGTACTCTATCAAACATAAACACCATATCAACCAAGCGATTAGTTCAAGACAGCATTTTACTGAATACAAAATGGTCTACATTTGCGGTCTGTTATAAATTCGTAAATCCACTCGCTTTTATATACTCCTGGGTACTCTGCAATGTAAAATGTCTATGGTATCTAGAGCTACGTGTTGAATTTGGCATCGCCATTTTGTCTTTTTCATTCTCACGTAAGCAGCAAAAAAAAACTCTACGACGCGTTAGAGATGAAATGTGATTTTAGATTTGGAGGGCAGTATGCAGCAATTTGTTAGAAAGGTCAATGATCTGAATATGCACATAATCCGCGATACAATCAATTTCATCAGGTATTTCGGCGTACTCATTGTATAAAATAAATACAATCAATTACAGACAGCAGTCCACCATTATGTCCCAAGCAAAAGGATAAGCCACATGCTTTCGTTCGACATTAGGTAACCTTCCTTACTACGCGGCTTTCCATCTTGTAGAAGGGTAGAAACAATCGACACGAGATCCATGGGATCATTTCCGCTTTTCAACGATAACAAGATCGTACAGAGCTGGTGCCACACCCATTTTTGTTTGGACCCAAGCATGACATCGATCTAAAAAAACCATCGTTCGTATTGCTAGATTCAATAAAGGTCCTTGAATCTCGGACTTTCGGACTATTCATTTCCTAGTATTCGCGTTCATGGCTTTATTAATTCATTGTCGCGCGTGAGCTTGATACGTGCACTTTCAATCTTAGCTAGAAGAGTCATGATGACTCAACATAAACCAACGCTGGGACTGCAAAAGTAGTAGTGGGGTCGGTCAAAGTAGCAGTCGGATCTGCCACACGAGCGAATTAATTGTTAGAAAAAAGAAAAAAAGATCGATGTAGTAAGTCGAGCGAAGTGCAATCATACGAGGACCAAGTTGAGCGTTGTGGACTCTGATGGTACCGTTGATTGGCGAGGCAAACATTAGTCTTTCAGTGTTATCGTTCTTTTGTATCCCCGTGCCGTCTACAACACGTGAGTAAGTAAATAACCCTTAGAGGTGCACTCAGTCGCTGTTTGATTCAGGTGCATTGCACAATCTGCCATTGTCAACTTTTGGCAAACAACCACTATTGCGTCAATTTTCTTCGCGAAACAGACTTTTTGCAGAGCGTAGCGAAGCAAATATAATAATTGTGTGTCCGAAGTACACATCCGGTGTTTTCTTGTAAGAGGCAAAAACACGGTACAAGCTACACAGAGCTCAACGCAGAGGAGACTGCAACACCATATCAGACTGAGTGGTCCGCTCTCTTTTGCTACTGCTTTGTCACGTATCGATTCCCAACTACGAACTGCCAACTGCCGCAACTCAGTTGCATATTACAAACACTGGAGTTTGAGATTTCATCTCTTTATTTTCTTATGGTTTTGAATATAATTTCTAAAGCTAATGTTTCACGTGCAATAAGGAATGAGATGGATTTGGCAGTAGCATTGCTTGTCAGCAAATTTTTATCTTTCGTACATTTTCGTAAGCAAACAAATGAAAACTTTTGTGGCGGACGATCGCAACTTTTGCTAGTACTGTCCTTTTCGACGTCTTGTTCTACTGGTTGGTTGATCAAGTTCAGGATAATGTTAATCATGTGCAGAACAACGATTGAATTGTCGTGAACCAATGTTCTTCTCTATCGTATCGGTGCTCAAAACTTTGCCCCAGCATACATCCCCCCAGAGACAGCAAGCACCAGCACGAGCACGACCAAGAAGGCCTTCTCAATCGGCGTAGCTTTGTTATAAATCGTCTTGAAGTGTACTTTACGTTCCCTAACGCTTTCTGTGTTAACAAAATGATTTTGAGGCGCTTCTGCATGTTCTCGACTAGTTTGCTCAGCGCTGAATTTTTCGTCATAACACTTATCAATCGGTCGGCGATTTATCGCTCTTCTTCCATGGCTTCGTGGGCTTCAATAGTCTTGTCACTACCCTTGAGGTTGCGACGAGTGACGGTCTCACTTTCAAAACGAGTGTTTGTGGTGTTGTGTAGCCGAGCTACTGTAGCTACGCTGCTTATGCACTATGTGCGGATGCACTATGTGCAGACGAAGTAGTCAAACTACTGTAGTAAAGCTACTTATGCACTATGTGCAGAGGAAGACAAGCTCAGAGAGCTTTTACGTCTTAGGGTGTTTAACCCTCCTAGGCTAGCTCGTAAGCTTGTGCCTATCGGTACTAACAACCGAGTCTCAGAGAGACTAGTATCAAAGATACTGATTCCTGAAAAGGAATAGAACGCTCAAGCTGTAAGGCTTACAGAGCAGGTTTGAGACTGATTTATATTTATGTTTATCTTCTAGCACTATATATAGAAGCACCTACTCTATAGTTAGTGCTAGTCACTATTTACTGGCTCTATAGCCTGTTATTATTATGCAACATGCATAGTCACTATACTTTAAATTAGTATAGTGACCACGTGGCTCTCTGCACGATGCGACCCTTCGTACTTCAGAAACGATCACATCACCTACTTTTTGTACCCAAGGTACAGCCACACAACATTCGTGTGGCAGGTGTGTATGTAAAATACACACCTTCGTGTAAACCCCGTTACACCCTCCCCCACCAATTCGTGGGACCCAACGTACCCACGAATTTTGCACATGATTGGAGGCATCGATTTCATTTCTTCTCATTTTGCTTGCCTCGCAATAAGTGCTTGCACTTGCGTCTAAAGCTTCTGTGATTTTGACACTTGCTCTTTGAGCACCCGTGCCTTGCACACACGCTTTCTAAGCATCCTAGTGTTACGACACTTGCTCCTTAAGCATACAGTGCATTTCACTCACGCTAAAGTATTATAGTATTATAAGCGTTAAGTGCCTAGCACTTGGTATTATTAATACCCTTTGTGTGTTCACGAACACTTGCTTTCACAGCACAAGGTGCCTAGCATTTGCTTTTAAGCAATAACGTGTTCACAACACTTGCTTATAAACGATTGAGCAGATAAGTGTGTAACACTTGCTCACAAAGCACCGTAATGTTGCCACTAGCTTATATTGCACATTAGTGTCAAACACTAGCTTATAATGCACCTAAGTGTTCAACAGTTAAAGCACATTTTCGCTAAACACTTGCTTTTAAAGCACCTTCGTGTTCAGCACTCGCTTATAAAGCACCGTCGTGTTCAGTACTTGCTTATAAAGCACCTAAATGTTTAACACGTGCTTGTAACGCACCTTAGTGTTGAACACTTGCTTTCGAAAAGCCTTGAAGTGCTTAAAACACTTAATCTTAAAGTGTTGTACACTTCTGATAAAGCTTCATAGTGTTTCACACTTGCTTATATAAAGCCCTACAGTGTTACTTTTGCTTATAAAGCACAACATTGTATACCACATGCTTATATAAAGCCCCAAAGTGTCGTAAACTTGCTTCTGAAGCAGATAATAGTACTTTTCACGCGAGTGAGGTACCAGCAACTGCTTCCCAAGAAGTTCAGAGGTGAAACCTAACTACTGGCCTTGCTTCCACAGCACTTAGTGCTTAGAAGCATCCGGCGACTGATATCGCCGCTTCTGATCTTCCCGATCAAAAAGCTTCAACGACGTCCGGGCAGTCTTGCCGTAGGGGTACCTCGTACTCCCATGAGTCATACGACTGAGGGTACCCCTCCACTTTACCAGATACTGGGTGTGACCCTGATGAAGACGTCGCGCCAATATACGCTCGACGTGAGACGGTTGATGATCCAGCTCATCAGTCAACGTTGGCGGGGGTCGGTGACCCATCGATCCACGATCTTTTGGTACGCCTTCGGTGTACATATGCACCTCCGGTGCCGTAATACCCGCCTCCTTCGGCCGGGATTTGGGGACAACCACCAAAGTCCACCGAGGCAGGGTGAGGTATGGCTTTAGCAAGCCCACTAGGACACAGGGTGTGTTCGCATCTTCTTTGGAAGGTTCAGAGTATCGGCTAAACCTTTCTTGCTTATGACTTTGAAAGGTCCAATAAAGCGTGGACGCAGTTTGGTTTATATACCGCAGACATTGCACGTGTCGGTAAATTCCTAGCATTTAATAAAACCAAGTCTCCCACTTTGAGCTCATGTTCATTCTTTCTGCCTTTGACATCCGCGTTTCCTTCTGAACGTCCTGGCTTTAGCCATAGCGTCTTTGACGCGACATAATACGTCAAAACGCGTTGACAGAAACGCTTTCACCTTTCTGCGCATCGCAACAAGGCTGATATCAGCCAAGCCTTCGGCTATCGCTCTTCCACTAAGCCCTGGTGTGGCAGGGGGTAGCGTTGAAGGAGCGCGAGGGTTGACCAATCCAATCTCATAGAAAGGGGTGAAGCCTGTCGAGGTATGTACCGCGATGTTCAAGGCAAACTCTACCAGAGGGAGCATCGTGCTCCATTGCTTGGGTGTTTCAGCAACAAACACTTC